AATATGAAATTAATTTACATCAGATCTACTATGGAACCCAAGAATTATAGCACCATTAGAAGTATTCTGAAGAAAGAACAAGGTGAAAAAATTGCTCCTTACATTTTCAAAATAAATGATACTCAGACACTGGAAACTTATCTAAAAAAAGAAAGGATTATTTATGAAATTTACCAAGAAGAAAGAAAAATCATAACCAGTAAAAGAACTTTGTCACAAAATCATGAAGAATTTAGAAAGAAAAGAAAATTGGAAGGGAAATAATTTGCTACCTAAATGTTCAGGTAACCACTACAGATTGAGAAGCTTTAATGTGAAATGTTTATTACCATTGCTATTATTGTAATGGCGTAATAAATGTGATTTTTTAACATAAAAGCTGTACCTATGACTTTTTTGGAGTACTGCAATACACAATGGTGTAAATTTTTAAAATTCGCAAATTTGCTTTATTTAATCATTAAAAAATTATTACATTGATTCTTTTTCTTTTCTTTTCTTTTCTTTTCTTTTCTTTTCTTTTCTTTTTTTTTTTTTTTTTATACTAATTATTTATTCTATTTTTTTATTCATATTATATATCACAAGTAATCTAACATAAAATACGTTTCGTTTCGATATAAAAAGATCAGTTCTTTAGACTATACTTATATATATATATATTTGACATTATATTTTTTGTGAATGGTAGTGATTATATATATCACAAATAATATTTGTTTAAAAGTCTAAGTAGAGTGTGATCATACAGAGATCTAACTAAAATTTTCAATCCGTTATATTCCTATTATTTGGTGATGCAAAAACGATAGAGTCATTGTCATGCCGTGTACCACAACATTTAAAATTTTTTCGAGATTTACGCATGGATTCCACGTGTTGTTGTAGTTTCATAACACGATGCTAAACAATAAATGTGTATTAAATTAAATTAAATAATAATAATATCAAGCCAGAAGAATAAGTTTTGTTACTTTAAATGTGTTCATTATATAGATAATTTCATTCAAATTTCCTAATTGTAATGGCGTATCTGGCATTGTAAACCCGTTGAACTGATCGACAAAATAAATGCCATCTATCCAATGCATGGAATACATAAAAAATTCCTTTTCTATGCAATTGAAGTATACCTTATGATTAATAATCATTTATAAATAAAGATTAATAAATTAGACTATTACATACTATACACTAATAAACCAAATGTTTCCAAATCTTTGAGGCCTGAACTATTTTGAGGAAATAATTTCCTGAGGTTAAATAATGCCAATTGCATAGCTATAGATCAAAATAATTTTGTTGATGATTTTCAAAATAAAATAAAATTTAAATCAAAATAATTTTGTTAATGATTTTCAAAATAAAATTGAAATTTTATATTTTTACCTTTTAATAATTTTTCACGATCCTCATTTAATTTTTTTTCATCTTGTTTAAATGCATTTCCAATTACTTCACCAAATGCGATTTGAACATCTCTGTTTCCAACTTTCATAATTAAAACAGCATCATGATACCAGCTCCCAGAATTTGTTCTACCTTTTTTTGTATTTCGGTTTAAATCTAATTGCTTTTTTCTGTCAATATTTTCTATTTCGCCTCTGGTTTGATATAAGATACATTAGTATATATAAAGAATAACCAAATGACAATAAAGTGGCTTACGTTTTCATTCGGATTAAACAATTTATATCAAAGAATAGATCCTCCCAGATGTGATTTATAATTCGGCTCCTATATGAGTACTCAGATGCCATACCATCATTGAGAGGGTTAATAGGCATCTGAAAACATGTTAAGCTATCAATTATAGATATATATGTCAGTATCGTTATTTGCGTATGCAAATTGTGATTAAAATTTGCTTACAAGGCGGTATATAATTGTTGCATCCATCTAAGAGGCCAGTCCCTCGCAAACAAATACAAATGTTGATCCGAAAACGGGCTTTGACTAACGGTAGTTTCAACCTTATTCAAATCAACGTAATATCCTACGGTAGCATCTATAATTGCTTTATTATATTTCTCTAGAAGTAATTGCAGATTTTCCACAAAAGAGGGAAAAGAATTCCCCATTTTTTTCTCTACCTGTGAAACAGTATTTATGTCAATATAGGAAATGAAAATCAATCATGATATAAATAAAAAACATACTTTTTCCCAATTTAATTCCATCATTGACCATTCTTGATCAGTATACAAAGATCTAATCGGATCAATGACATTACATTCTGGTAAAAATACAATTCTGTATCTTGCGATACTGCTATTACTACTGATAAGTCTCTCAATAACTGGATTGTTTGAATTCTGTATATGAAAAAAAGTTTTATTAAATGATGAGCAGTAATAAAGTATAAAAAAGACAAAGATATCAAACCTCGAAAGATGACAATTCTTGAAAATATAAATTTTCTATTTCTTGATTAATATCAAAATCATCTCTATCCTTTTCCTGTACAAGTTGAACAATGGAAGAGGTCACTTCTGTTGTTAAATCTTTTCGAATTTCGTTTCCATTACTTTCGATCTGTATCATGTTCAAAAGTAAAAAATATGATATTTTTGTGCTATATATAAGTTATATTTCATACTAACGGAGACAACATCCTCATTCGATAAACATCTTTTCAGTGATTCAGATGTAATTTCTCCGAAGGACAAGAAGGTAGTTTGATCTCTGTAATCATTTTTTCTTTGATTTGGATTCGTGTTTTCTTTATCTTTTCTTCTTTTTTTATTAACGACAGACATTTTTATTTTTTAAAAAAAAACAAACACGTAAAACAAAATATTATTATATACTAGAGTGACGACGAGTGATGGCGATAACCACCACCAAAATTATGATAAACACTTACTCAGCCAATGCCTCTCCATGATTTTCTTGTTGTTGTCTTTTTTGCTTTTTTTGTTTCGTAATAGGCATTTTAAAAATAAAAGAAAGTTTATTATTTGATTGACAAAAACATGTCTAATTATTTATGCTATCAGACGCGAATTGATTTTTTTTTTTTTTTTTTTTTTGGAAAAACAATTTTTGACAGAGTCCAAGATGACAAAACGTGAGTGCTGTTGTTTGGTTTGGTTTGGTTCTCCTAAAGAATATGTGTTAATAACTAACCAGAAGTACTTTTTTTTACTTGTAATGATATTTTTATTTTATATAAATATTTTAATTGGAATCAAATGTGGAGCAGATCTTGCTGGGTAATTACAAGATTTTCATTGATAATATTTTACTTTTCATAATCAATAATATTAATAATATTATTATAATTACAAGATGTCAAGGCAGCACACTGTTGAAAAAGAAACATTTCAAATATGCGATGTTTGATTATTTGGAAATTGGCAGACGTTGAAGCATGCACACTGCCTTGAACACTTTACAGTCATTCTCACATCTTCCTTGAGTACACAAGGCTAATCTGACTTGCGACGCCCGATGATATGATGATGCAACAAAATTCCAGGGGGGTGTCGCTCTGCCCTGGAGCTGCATCAAGACTGCATCATCGTCAATGATGCTTTCACTAATCTTCCCAGATCAGAGATGGCCACTGCCATGTTGGCTGAAAAGTTGTCTACCTCTGGATAAAAATGGCACTGTGACCAACAAGCTTGCAACTCTGGAGGAATATCAAGAGAATCTGCAGCTTGTTTCAAGCACAGGAGGTTGCAATTCAGAGCAGTATTATCAGTATTAGCCAATGAAAATGAAATTTTCTTACAGCCCTTTATTTAATTATTTTTGGTAAAGTTCAAGCTTTTAAATGTCTGATGTGGCAACTTCATGTAATACAATACATGTTAATATATCACATGATATGTAAAAAAGCATTCTCATATCTAGAAAAATTATTAACAGTTGAACAATTTGTCACACTAATTGATTGGAAAGTGTATTTTCCGAAATTTTTTGGTAATCAACATCAAAATTCTATTAATAAAATTAGCCACAAACCTTAATTTTAACCTTTTTTGCTCAGCAATCTCTGCCAAATTTGACACAGATTTTTCTGGACTTATTCCTTTTAAAAAACAATTTAGGGGAGGTTATTAATAAAATAGAAAAAAATCTTGATGTTAAAGTTTATCAACCAAATTACTGCATTCAGAAATTAATTATCTCTTTGGTCATTACTCCTGATAATCTCCTGTCCACATTTTTTCCTTTTTATGTATTGATAAATAAATTTATCAAAATTTAATATGTTTTTGGGGGTCTGTTAAACTTTAATAAACAACAATCCACATAAAGCTATACCCATATAAAAACTACAATATTTTTCATCTTTTCAACCACTCACCAAGTTTATAAAGGTAATATTGGTAAAAAATCTTAACTTTGAATTAAAAAGTAATGCTGTTTTGAATGAATATAGCTTGACATAGAGAGCCACCATCAATATGAAAGAGTATTTTTTTAGAAAGCTATATTGACATAGTTTTATTTTTGATTAATAATAATGTTTGAATTTGTTATAAAAATAATAAAAAATTGACATCAGTAAACTTGTAAATGATTTACAAAGTTATTGAATATTTTTATGATGTAGAGATTAGAATTGGAGTAGATGAGGATATTAAAACTTTTAAAGCTCATTCTGGCATTTTAAAAGCAAGATTTTAAATCTGCTTTATCAAAAATTGGATATTATCTTATTTGAAAAAGAAAATATTTCTCCAAATGTATTTGAAGTTCTTTTAACATAAGATTGTTTTAAACTTTATTAATTTAATTAGTTAATAAATTGAATGATTATAATAATTTAAATTGCTTTATTTATTTTATAGATATGTTTACTCTTGATAATAATATGTAGCTTTCCGCTAAAATATCTTGCAGATCATCCACTAATTTTTCCCATAAGAATATTCGATCCACTATATGATTGATTGGGTGGATCGGATATTCTTATGGGAAAAATTAGTGGGCGATCTGCAAGATATTTTAGTGGAAGGCTACATGACTATCTCTTGATATAGGTAATCTGAATGCAAATGAAGTTTATGAACTTTTTGAAGCATGTGATGAATTAAAATTTAATGACTTACAAGAACTATTTGATTAATAAAAAAAGAATGGGTCCAGCATAAGGTTGTGTGTGGGTGAAAACTCCTCCAGAAATCAATTGACAGAGTTTCAACTGGTTACACATTAATTGTTTATTAAAGTTTTGTCAGTTTTTTGCATTTGAGGGTCTTGTCAATTGTCAGAGTTTTGACAAGGTATATACTAATTGTTCATTGGAGTTTCAACAGAGTTTCAACAGTCACTAAGAGGTTTTGGCAAGCAACCTTAGTCCAGCTGAATTTAATTTATGTTCATAAAATTGCATCACATCATCAATTGTTCAATTTGCTTTGAGATTATTTGTAGTGAAATAATTAGTAAAGATCCAGAATTATTTTTAAGTCTAAGGATTTCAAAGATATTGAACTGGCTATGCTTATAACTATGTTAGAAGAGATGACTTAAAATTAAATGAAATTGATATTTGGGATAATGTTATTCAATTGGGAAAAAAACAAAATGAAAAATTAAATAAAGATGTTTCGGAGTGGATGATTTTATCATGCTAAAAAATGTATTGTATGACATTATTCCACTAATAAGATTTTACAAAACCTCCTCTATTGGTTTTTATGATGAAATCAAACCTTATGAAAAAATCTTTAATATGAAGAAATTCATCAATACCAGGCTACTAATAGAAGCCAACCAAGATTTATACTTCAAAAAGGTTCAAGATCAAAAACAAAACAGGAAAATTATTAAATTTGCAAATGAAATCTCTGATTTCAAATTGAATTGATTGCAAATGATCTATATAATGAAAATGATGAATTTGATTCTTTAGGTCTGTATTTGAGGATAAATCTTATAATATTGAACAAACTGTGGCCATTATTAAAATTAGAGGTACAGGAGAATTATACAGGATCCTTGTTACTACTATATTTTACTTATCAATATAAAATCACTAGTCATCATCCATAACGCACATAAATGTCACAGGATCTCGAACAAATTGGCCCGTAAGGTTGGGCGTCACACTGGTTTCCCTCATTATTCATTCTTTTTAGGAATACGCGTATTTTAGCTCCTTTCTCTTTATTACACTCAACTTTATTGCAAAGAGATAATGAACAATATGCAAGTAAATTCAGATAACACTCCTGCACTAAAATTCGGTCAGTTATTTAATTTTCTTTTAAAAAAATTAAAAAACCACATTATTAATTAAATACGTGTTGTTTTTTCCTTTAGAGACTAAACAAGGTGAAGAAGGTTTTTGCAAGTTTTTTCACGGTCTTCCAGAGGTAAAGAAATATAAATATATTTGTTATACAGTTATAAATTTTAAAACTAATCCTTGCATGTCTTTTAGAAACCTGCAAATACTATTCGTATATTTGAACGAAATTCTGGAGTAGGCTTAATTTTTTTATTTTTATCTTTATAATATTTATCAACCCATAACTAAATAAATAAATATTCCACTTGATAGGAATATTACAGTGTCCATGGTGAAGACACATTATATGTTGCTAAGAATGTTTTTAAAACATCAACTGGCATTAAGTACTTGGGTGGTATGAAATGAATTTAACTAATCAATCTAAATTAATATGAATTTATTATTCTAATAATATCATTAAATTATTAAATATTTATATATAAATATTTGAAGGTGATGAAAAAAAAGGAATTCCAAGTTATACATTGTCTAAATTTGTTCTCGAGTCTTTTTTGCGTGATTGTTTGTTGAATAATCAAATGAAAATTGAATTATGGTCTAATGGAACAAAAAAAAATAATGAATGGCAAATTACAAAACAAGTATATTACTTTATAAATAGTATAATATTGACATTTACATTATATTTATAATGTTTTTTTTTATTAGGCATCGCCAGGAAATATTCAAGAACTTGAAGATTTATTATTTTCAAATACCGAAGTTTCTTCTTCTCCTGTAATACTTTGTGCTAGACTAATTATTAAAGATAACCAAAAAATTGTTGGATTAGCTTATGCTGATTCAACACGTAGAGAATTAGGTGTATCTGAATTTGTTGATGATGAATTATTTTCAAACTTTGAGGTAAATGAATATTTATTTATTAATAAAATAAAATATAAAAATAAAATAAATATTAAAATTTTATTTTTTTTAGACTGTTTTAATTCAACTTGGAGTGAAAGAATGTATCATTACTACAGATGATAAAGACCATGAAATTTTAAAATTAAAAGGTGTACTCAATAAATGTAATGTAATTATTACTGAATGTAAAAAATGTAAATATTTTTACCATTATCATCATCACCATTATCATCGTCGTTTAATAACAGTAACATTAATTTATTTAAAATTACTAATTAATAAATATTCATTATTAGCTGATTTCTCTACCAAAAACATAGAACAAGATTTGAATCGCTTATTGGGAAAAGCAATTTCTGTAACTTCTTTACGTAAGTTTTTATCCTTAATTATTAATGTTTTTTATATTATGTTGCTTTATATTAAAATTTACCATTTTAATTAATAAGCCGAATTCAAATTGGAGAATGCAATGTCTGCTTGTGCTTGTATTATAAATTATTTATCGGTAAAAAATAAAACAATCAATTACTTTTTTTATAATCAACATGTTACTCAATCATCTTCCTCTTCTCCAATTTAAATAGCTTTTGTCAGATCAAAGTAATTTTGGGAATTATTCTCTTCGACTTCACGATATATCTAAATTTATGAGATTAGATGCTTCTGCAATCAGTGCTTTGAACTTATTCTCTACCAAACAAGATGGTATAGTATTAATATAATAACAAACAATTTTGTTGCTTTTAATAACCTATCTTCAAAATAATTACTATTTTTATTTTTATTGTTAAGGCACAAATGCAATCTCTAGTTTATATGGACTTTTAAATAAATGTGTGACTTCACAAGGTTCAAGATTATTGTGTAGATGGTTGAAACAACCATTAATGAATAAGAACGAGATTGGTAAATCATTCTTCTTCACGCATGCTTACATGTTTAGGTTTACAGATAAAATATCTTAAGATCCTTTGATATTCATTATTATTCTATAGAACAAAGACACGATTTGGTTGAGATTTTTGTAACAAATATAGAAACTCTGGAAGATTTAAAGGTATTAAGATATTTTTATTATTAAAACATTTATAAACAATTGATTCTTTTGTATATATATTTATTTTATTTTTATATGCATACATTTGTAAAAAATATAGAAAAATATGTTGAAGAACACTCCTGATCTTCATCGATTAACAAAAAGATTTCGTAAACAAAACTCTAATTTACAAGTAATCAATCAATCAATTTATTATAAATCTACGCTAATAATAATATGTTTTTCTAAAGTCTATCTAATTTTAAATTTTAAATATATGTTATATGACCATAGGATGTATTATGTGTTTATAATGTTGTTCAAAAATTGCCAGAATTGATTACAGCTTTAGAATCACTTTACCTAACAGATGACAAACTCAAAAATCTTGCACAAGAAACATATATTATGAAGTTTAAGGTAAAATTAGTAAAAATATAAGCATATGTATTTACACAAATATTTATTTATGATATAACTTTTTGATTTTCATAGAAATTCGAATCTCAACTTGTAAATTATAAAACAATGGTTGAAGAAGCTATTGATTTGGAAGCTGCTGAAGAGCATAAATATAAGATTAGAGAAGATCATGATGAAGGCTTGAAGGGTAAATAAATTATACCTTGTTATTTTATAATATCATATATATAAATATATACATCAATTTTATTTATTATATTTATTTTTTTATTAGCTATTAAAATGAAAATGAATAAAATCAAAGAAAGAATAAAATCATGCCATAATGAGGCTAGTGACGATCTTAATTTCAATGATAAAAATAAACTTTATCTTGAAACGCATAAATCATTTGGATATTGTTTCAGGATTTCAAGAAAGGTAAACAAATAAATTTCATTGATTAATTAATTAACTGTACGATTATTTGTTATATTTATTCTTTCTAATTGATTTGTATTTAGGATGCCCCTTGTATTAATAGAAATAAAAAGTATATAGAACTTTCCACACAAAGAAATGGTGTCTATTTTACAACTACTGAAATGAAAGATTTGAATGAAAAATATGAAGAATTAGATCTTCAATATGCAGAAGAACAAAGTTCTTTGGAAAAGGAGGTTTTACTTGTTGCAGGTAACACTTGCACATTTATATATCATTTGTTTTTAAACAGTAATAATTGTAAATTTGCACATTTAAATGTTTATGTTTATATAGCAACTTATTGTTCTGTATTGGAAAAGCTGAATGAATTAATAGCACATATTGATGTTATCGTTAGGTTTGTAATATTTATTGAGGTTGATGATATAATAAATTTGAAAAACAAAAATTGTAAATATTTATATTATTGTTACTAATTATAATATATTTAAAAGTTTTTCAAGTGTGTCAATTAATGCCCCTATGCCATATGTTCGGCCAAAAATGTTAAATAAAGGTAATACTCTTATCATTATCATTATCATCATTGCAATTTTTTAATTATTAATAAAAAAAAATTTTTTTTTGTATATTTGTTTTCTAGGTGAAAAAGAATTTATCTTAAAAAATGCAAGGCATCCATGTATTGAAGTCCAAGATAATGGTTCATTCATTCCAAATGATGTAAATTTAATTAGAGGTAAGAGATTAACTAGTAAATACCTTAGTTGTGATTTGGTTATTCTATAATAATCATATTATAATCATATTTTTTGTTTAAGGAACGCGTGAATTTCAAATAGTCACTGGACCAAACATGGGTGGAAAATCAACTTATATTAGACAAGTAAGTTATATAACATCAAACAATTATTCAAATAATATTATCAATGAATTGATATATCATATCATAAATATTTAATTTATTATGGAATAGATTGGTGTTATTGCTTTGATGGCACAAGCTGGTTGCTTTGTTCCATGTAGTGAAGCAAGTATTTGTATATTTGATTGTATACTTGCAAGAGTTGGTGCTGGAGATAGTTATCTTCAAGGTGTTTCTACATTTATGGCGGAAATGTTGGAAACTACAAGTATCTTAAGGGTATTATTATCTAAATTACCAGTGATTTTTTTTATTGTCAATGTTGTTTTATCAAAATCATTTAATATATAATTTTCTATTTTTGATTTTTAATTAATTAGACTGCAACTGAAAATTCTTTAATTATTATTGATGAACTTGGTCGGGGTACCAGTACTTACGATGGATTTGGGTTAGCTTGGGCTATTTCTGAGTAAGTGAATTATCTAAATTATCTGATTACAAATCACTCAATCCATGCTTTATTTTATTTATTCATTTTTGATAATTATAGATATATTGCAACAAATATACGATGTTTTTGTATGTTTGCCACACATTTTCACGAATTAACAGTTCTTAGCGATCAAATGCCAAATGTGTGTAATTTACATGTAACAGTTCATACTGGCAGGAATTCTGACGGTGAAAGTGAAATAACTTTGTTGTACAAGGTTATTGAAGGTAAGAAAAAACTTTAACAAGAAATGAAAGCGAAGAAGATATTAATTTGTATTTTATAATATAGGTGTTTGTGATGAAAGTTTTGGTATTCATGTGGCAGAACTAGCCAATTTTCCTGAAACAGTTCTCAGAGTAAGTTAACTTTATTTAATATACATACATAATTTTGACAATCTCATCATTATTTTTTAATAATTATTTAGCTTGCAAGAAAAAAGATAAATATATTAGAAGATTCTACAAAAAGTAAGCTATATTGATGGTTTTTTTTTTAAAACATGATAAGTTAATATTAAAATATATATTTTAAAAAAGATAAAGATGAAATGGACATAGATCAAACAAACACATCTAAACAAGATATTGAGGTATAAAGATTGGTTTTATTATTATTTAATTATTAAAAAAAATTATTTATCTTATTTTTAATTTTTTTAGGAGGGAGGTATGATCATAAAAGAGTTTTTTAAAGAGGTTTTAGAAAAAACCGAAGACCTATCTGACTACAACTCAATTTTAAGTTGTACACGGTCAATCTTTGAACAATTTAAAGATAGAATTGAAAGCAATTCTTGGTGTAATTCATTGATTTCAGAATTGTGATAATTATAATAATGTAAATAAAATAACAATAAATAAATAATAGTAATTGCATATTTTAAATATGCACTATGTCAATGATACTGTCATGGTCAACGAATCTAATAACCACGTCCAAGAAAGCCTTCTTGCGGGTGGTTTCTACACCCGCGGTTCATCTAATAGAGGTGTGGCATATTTAAGGTTCTATAATACAGAGTTGTCATCCTCATCAGCTCAATAAATAGTTTTTGTCACCAAAAACATAACCACTTTGTAGTTTTCACGAGTTTATAATTAAAAAATGTTGCACTAACTTTAATAATTAATTTATTAGAACAAATAATATATAAAAACAACGTAAAAGCAGTTGGTAAGAAGGAAGAGAGCGAAAATAAAGAAGATAAGAACAAGATGAAATAGAGATGGAAACGAATATGAAATCAAGGTTGGAATTTAAGTGAGAAATGAAACATTCTACAAAATCCTGACTAATAAATTATTTTTATTTTCTGGCAACTTACACGAACCCAAATATATATAAATCAATAATAATGATAAATATATATTCATAAATGCATTAGTATTGCGACTGGGCCTCGGAACAAAACTTTGAAGAGAAGTGACTGTTTGCGAGAGGAATGACGGGAGATTAAAAATCGAATTAGGAGGCTCACGAACCAACCCTTGACAATATAGTTAGCTTTTTACCTCACCTAGCCTCCTATCATATAAAAAGAAATAATAATATATTTACAGGCAGAAAAAAGTAATCACCAGAGATGGTTAAATCTTTAAAGTGTTATAATAAAGTATTACAAACAAATACAATGGATATAATACTACAAAGGTAACCTTAATATAAAATATGTTTAATATTAATATTCTATGTATTTAATTGATGTATAAAAATTTAAAAGATTAATGTCACGTTCATAGTGTGACTTTATTATAAAATAATGATATAAATTCAACCGCATTATTTTCATCTAGTTACTTTCATCACTGCCTTCATTAAAAGCTCATCCTCCAGTTTGTTGATGAACTGATGGGAGAGTTTGATTCACAATTAATTTCTTCTCATCATAGTCTCCTTGATCTTCTTCACTTTCATTACTTCCAACTGGCTAATTGTTCTTTATTCCTCCCTAGAAACTTCTCCCTTAATTTGCGACTATTAACATTTTGATATAATTGTATTTTATCATTAATGATTCTATCGAATAAAACAAATCATATGACTGATAGTGATAGTAATAGTAATAGTAATAGTATATGCACTATCCAATCCAATCAAGAAAAAAATTCTTTATCAGTTCTATTTTTCCTTTGTTGTGGTAATAATAATAGTAATTGACGTTTTTCTTTAGTCAATTAATAATAATAGTTGTAGTAATTGTTTTTCCCCCTTTGTAATGATAATAATAATAGTAATTTATTATTAGTAAATGGTCACGGTAGAGTTTCTATTCGAATTCATTATGAATCTGAATATTCTAATTACATTGAATGTTTATTCGAATAAAACGAATAATTCAATAAGAATTTGTATTACAAACAGAAACTCTAACTCAACTCAATAATAATAAAGATTTTCAAACGTTTTTGCATTTCGTTTTAATTCTCCATAAATATCTGAGCAAATTTTATACAATCCAAAGCTCGTTTCAACGAATCATACAAGAATTCGTTGAAACGTGGTTAGTAACTTTGTATAACGAATTTTAAATGCAATTTTCTTATGTGTCCCATAGATTCGTTAAAACGAGGTTTAATTAACTGTATGCATATATATTTCAAAACCTAAAAGGCATTTTTTAATAGAAAAACAAATATTGTTAAAACATGGAATCTTGAATGGTTTTCATTTTAAAATTTTGGAATTTTTAGCCTGTCATAAAATTATTAATATAGCTTACTATTGTTTTTAATTATTTTCGATGGTCTGCAAAATCGTAATAAATTTCGGCTGGCTCGAGCCAACGCTTTTTTATGTTCGAGACAAGTACAAAATCGGCTCGTTCAAGGCTTTAGCTAGAACAATGAGATATTGGATTTCACGTCAAGTCACTCAGTTAGGGGACAAGGCAATCATAAAAAAAAATTATCAAATTAATTGATGATGAGGATGTTGCTGAAAAAGTTATGAATGGCATCATTAATTCGTGGTTCGCTTATTTATCTATTTCTATATCTCTCAAATAAAAAGACAGCTGGTGATAATAATAATAATAATAATAATAATAATAATAATAGTAATAGTAATAATAATAATAGTAATAATAATAATAATAGTAATAATAATAATAAATAATAATAATAATAATAATAATAATAGAAATTGTAATTTAAAATTTGTAATAGGCAATATACTCGGAATCCGCAGCTACTCAATAGAGAAAAATTTGGTTTCTATACAAAATTGCATGTGACTTTCCTTATAATGAAAGAAAGTAGTATTAGCTTTTATTATTATTTTCATTATGCCGATCTCTCGGATTTTTGTTAATGTTAATTATTTATTAAATTTCTCACCATAAAAGTAACGTTAACCCCACACTATAATCGTAGATCACTTGTTACGGGTCAATAATTAAACTTTAGTTGTGTTCTTTGAAAAAAAAAAACAATTCTATTAAAGGGCTGGCTGTCTGTATGTGATATTTAAGACTTTACTATAGAGGGAGAGGGGAGTGCTCCGATCCAAATCATGAAAGATCGACACGGAATAATTTATTACCTATATATTTATTACAACTTGGCAAGAAATTGGTTGACAGAAGAGAAAGATGATAGGATTCCTTTAACTAGAAATCAGAATGGGAAACCAGAAATGGAGACCCTTTCTAGATAAAACTTTGAGCACAAATGAGTCATTACGACTTGTATCAATGTGTCTTTAATGCTGAGCATCGAGCAACATTATCCAAATACTGCTCAAGTTTTCCTCATTTTGATTTTTTTTTTCTTATTATTAGGAGATATAGCCCTCGTAATAATTATATTATATAATAAAATTGTTATTAGAAGAATAAAATATCCCTTGAATAAATAATTATTTTTCCTAATCATCTATAAATTTCATACGATGATGGATAACGACATATTTCTATAGATTGATTGATTGAGTATTGTATAGAATTGAAATTATAGCGATATTTGGAATTTGGATTGGAATGAAAGAAAACAGTTTGTGAACGTAAAATTAAAGTGAAATAACAGAAAGTCAAAGTCACGTATTTACCACGGATACCACAAAGAAAAATCATGATTTCCTACAGCCTCAATATGACTTGGTGATGTATTAGGATATAATTTTCAACAACATCGTCAGGATATTATATATTACGATTGCCATGAAAAGACCATATGTCATTGAATATAGATAGAGGGAAATTTGTAGAAGGAATATATGACTAAAATTGATAATGAAACTTTGGAACCGATTCCTCCAAACCTTGGTCCTAATGAGAAGGAATTGGTTTTACTTATTTATTTATGAGGAATGTATCATTCACTCTAGTGATTGGAAGAGAAAAGTCGGGGCAAAAGATAGTAAGCCACTTGTGTGTTTTTTACCCAAGTTTCACTATGATTTAAATTACATGGGAAGTTATTGATTGGGGCTGTGCTAAAAGATACACAGAAAAAACTGCGATTATGCTTGGAGTAGTGCTAAACACTGTTACCGAAGCCCTATATCGCAAGGAAAACATGAAAAAATATGGGAATGAATTGAAGGAAAGTTAGTTGGTTGTGAGGAAGCATCCTAAAAGATTTTATTTGTTCATTTTTTAATTATATTTTTTCAATTGATGGTTATCATTCATTGTCACAAATTTTGGATGTATGACCGATTTATGTAATCTAGCTAGACCTGATAGAATTTGTTGTATTCGGAAGTTATCAATGTCGATTAATACATAAAAAATGAATTTTTTTTATTTATGTGTCATAATCAGTGAAATTCAATCTGCGGAATAGATGGGTACTAACCAAATTTGTATAACAGTTGATTTGCGTACATGCTTGCAATAGAAAGGTATCTGGAACATGCAGTTACTGCTATTGGGATGTGATTTTGTTGAACTAAATTTTTTGGGCAAATAAAATATGAAAAAATAAATTGTCAACAAATGAATATGTGCAGTATAAAATAGTGGATTATTCATATTATTGGGTAGAAAACATATAAAAATGCAATTAATTAAAATCTCTCTTTTTTAAAAAATATGATCTTCGTTATAATAATATTGCCGGTTCCTATTTTTCATATTCGATATAATAAAACCGGTAAATTACTTGCATCACTTTCTAGTAATAGTAATTGAATCTCTTAGAAATGGCCCGGGAACTGGCGCTGATAACTGAGACAATATCTGGTATGTCATAAGTCGATTAAAAGAAAGAAATAAAGGGAGACAAAGGAGGTTTGTGAAATAATGTTACATTGATAAAATAAAAAAGAAACAATTATAATGTACATAATAATAAAGGATTAACTGATAGATTAGATATTTAGATAAACAAATAAGCAAATATTTATGCAGAATACGTAATAATGACTTATTATTTGATATATAGAGACGGTACCTGCCTGTTTGTATGCGTGTGTATGTGTCTTAAAACCTGTAATAAATTAAAAATGATCGAAAAAAAATATTTTGCTGAAAATTTAGAATTTGAAAGTCAATCGATTATTGGTATTTTGTCATTTTGCATATTTGTTTGTTTGTTGATTTGTTTTTTATTTAAAAACTCGCGTGTATTTTAGTTTATATAATAATTTAGAGAATTAAATTTAAAAATTATTTGCCTAAAAATTGTAAATTCTTCTCTTATGCAGAAAGAAAATGAAACATGTAAAATAGAATTTTTTTTATGTTCATTCATTATTATTGCCTACAATGTGGCCACAATTATGTAATATTGGGCTTTAATTGGTGACAAAACTAGTTTAACTACGTTTTCGGAAATTTGTTCTTTTTTGTTATATTTTAATTCAAAAAATAAAATAAAATATAAAATATACATTATTGGTCACAAGAATAAATTTTAATCTTATGTACATTTTTTATGTTAGACAAAGGAATATTATTTATTGTATAATCAATATAATTTAAAAAAAAAAGTGCATCATTGTACCTGCGAGTATTTTTTATCCAAATATATGTACTGGCACAGAAGAACGACTTAATTGGCGAAAGAAAATTTGGAACGGGACCATTTGAACGGGGCTTTGTCTGACAGTCCGTATATATTAATGCATATAGGGAAAAAATTTTTGTGTAAGCAAAAGCAAAATTAATTCTGTCCGATATGTAACTCCCAATCTTTAATTTCAAAAGCAGGATACCCAACCAAATATGTATGACAATAATTTTATCGTCTATCATCCAACATCAGTCACAATTTCACATGGAACACAATTTCCAAGAAATTTCCGGCAAAAAATTAAAAAAAGATAAAGATGATAACCCTATCATTTCCTTAATAAATTGGGGTTTATCGTTGACGTAGATTTATCTAAAATTTTATTTTACATTTTTGAATTTAATTTTCCTAAAAATTAGATAAATGATGTCATTTATATGGAATTTTTTGGTAAACTATGTTTTTTAAATCTTAATTAAATAGTGCACAAAATCACATACACTAATACACAAATACAAAACAAAAAAACAAAAATCATCATTTGTGTAAAAAAAAACAAATAATCTAAGCACAACAATCAGATTAAACATAACAATCAACAAAAAAATTTATTCTAAATTAAATAATTAGTTAATAAATTGGTTAACCAACCATTCCATTCAAGTAATCATCATCATAATAATATTTTGTTTCATATTCTTACTCTATTGCCGCCCGCTTCGCTCATCCTTTCTTCTTATTCCTAGGTAATCTATTACTAGCCAATCAATTACTCCTAGCTATTATATTTACTTTGCCTATTTAGTAATCATTCTTATCATCAGCATCATCACCGTTAATCAACCTCCCATTGAAATTAGCCATAGACTAAAATTGTTATTGTTTGTTTTTTCACTATCCCATTTTTTTGATCTGCAAAATCTTTATCTTGGCGAGGAGGTGTGACAATTTTTTGACAAAAACTGTGTAATATAACATATGAAGAAATTACTTCGTTTTTTAGATTTTTTGTTTCATTTTTTAATATAAATGATGTCACCGGTGTTAGGTTTTTTGTGAAAATTTGGTACACTGGACTGGATTCAATTATGCAAATTTGCAAATGGTTCATAAAAAAATAAATTAATTGAAAACCGTGGTGTTTCTGTGTCAGTGCAATTAAATTAAAATATTTCAGAGTTGCACGTGGATAATAGTTGGTATTGTATTATTATAATATATATAATTTTTTTTTGAAGCTTTGGGTTCAAATAATTTTATAGACATTTTTTAATAAAAAGTTTTTTATATTTTAAAGATCTACATTTTACATTGTTGTTGGTGCTACATTGGAATAGTTAAAAATTTTGAAAAAATTTAAATATATTAACAATTATATGTATATTTACGTATTGTAAAAATACATAAATAACAGAGGAATATATATAAAGGACGATTTATTTGATTTATTTAAAAATACGAATAATCGTTTTTTGAAAAAAACATTTTGCCACGAAAAAATTTATTTTATTTTTCATAAAAAAATCATCTTGATAAATCTACTACCTTCCTCTTTTCTCTCCTTTCCTCTCAATAAATTAAAAAAAAATAAATTTTATTATTTTTTATTATTTTGTGTATATATTATATATATATATATATATATAAAACTTTATTAATAATTGTCAAAGAAATTACTGTCAAAAATAAAAAGGTTAAAGATGACTCGTTTAACTTATTTTTTTGATAATAATAATATAACAACGGATGTGATGAGTACAGACACAATCACAATGTCTAATAATAATAATAATACTAATGATAATAATAATCAACAACATTCTTTAGATTCCTTAGACGTATGAAAATTTTTATTTCTTTTTTATTGTTGATCAACCGTAATGATTGATTTAATTAATGATAATAATTGTTATTATAATAGTGTCAACAACATCTTCATCAAGAAGGATTGATTTTACAAAATGCTTCTGATTTACATTACCGCCAATTTGTAAGCTTCCATTTAATAATATTATATGATGATAAATGTAAAAATAACTAATAATAATAATTTATAAATCATGATTATTATATTTAAATTTCGATGATGATTGAAAATTTCATTAAAAAAAATTTTTTTTTTTTACAGAGTCCGTTGTTTCAATGTAATGATATGGTAAGATTACAAAATGCTTGATTTTTTTAGTGGTAGTTGGAAATTTTTATTTCATTTCCTACTCATTCATTTACTAACTAATATAATAATCGTTCGATTTATTTAGTTATTCCCAGAGAATCCAAGTTCTTTTGATGATTATTCCCTTCAAATAAAACTAAATAATTATCCTGCCACACCTCTTCATTTTAATATGGTATGCATAATAATAAAAATTTATCAAATAATCTGGTGTTTTATCTTTTTTACTTATTATATTCTCGCATATTTTTTTCTCAAATGAAAAAAAAGGATGTTAATCGAAATCAAGATAATATGCAGGTAGAATTTCTATTCCATTTTTTTATACAAATCATATTTAATTACTTCCTCTTCTTTTCCTTTTTTGGATTTTATGAATGCTTACATAAAATTTATTATTTTTTTTTTTTCAGTCACAAATAATCAACAACAACAATAATAATAATGATGACGATGATGACGACGACGACGAAATTGATGAGGAAGTTGAATCACCAACATCCCCATCATATCATCAACAAAATTTAGCACTCGCTCAATTATTGGTCACCGCCACCGATATTCCTAAAGAAATTTCAATCCCTGTCACACGAAACCAACAAATGAATGGGATTATTATTGATAAGGTAAATTAAATTAAATATTATATAATATTATTTCCATGTGATACACAAACAATGACAAATATTAAAATAATAATTGCGTAATAACAGCAACAACAACAACAACAACAACAACAACAACAACAACAACAACAACATGCTTATTCGTCCATAACGACAACAAGTTTGCCTAGTTTGCTAAATCAGAAGCCACCAGTTTATACTAAATGGACTGACAAGGAAGATGAACTGCTCAAGGAAGCTGTTCAAATTTATGGACCTCACAAATGGTCACTTATTGCAACACATGTACCTAATAGAACACCTATGCAATGTTCAGCTAGATGGGTTGGTGCGTTGAATCCGTCGATTTTGAAGGGTCGTTGGACGACTCAAGAAGATAATGCATTGCGAGATGCTGTGAATCAATATATGATGAATTCTATTGATTCACAAGGTAATCCACAACCAATCCCATGGAACAAAGTTTCTAAATGTATTCCTGCAAGAACTGGTGCTCAATGTCAAGCTCGGTGGACTGAGGCATTAGATCCTCGAATTAAGAAGGGCAAATGGTCACCTGAAGAAGATGAAATACTTAAGGAAGGCGTTAGATTATATGGTCGTTGCTGGATTCGTATTGCTGAAATGATAACTGGAAGAACTCAAGTATGTACGGCATTTAAATTTGGGGGGGTTTTTTTTTTTTGCGAGAAAATTTTGCTTTGAAGTATATAAATAATAAATAATTCGGTCAAAAAAAAAAATTTTTTTTTTAATAGAGACAATGTCGCACGCGCTGGCTTCAAGTTAAAAACAAACAGTTCAAAAAAAAAAATAACGACAGCAATAACAATAAAAATAATAGTGTTGGTTCCAACGGAATAATCAAAACTAGTAATAATAATAAGCCAGATAATAATAATAAAAACAACGATAATAACAATCAAAAAGTGATGTTAACACCACCAAGTACTACACCATCCACGCCTGCACAATCTATTAAAAATGTTGCGGCGTCATTGCCTTCAAAACCATCATCTACCTCATCATCCTTATCATCGTCTCCAGTCTTTTCTTCACTATCATCATCATTACCATCACCTACATCAAACATCCAGGGAGTCATTATGCGATCCTCACCTACAATAAATAATGGTAATAATGTTTCGGGTCAACAACAATTAATGATGATCAACGCCTCATCTCCTGACGAGAGATTCTATAACAATAACTTATTTTATCATCAACTCTATCAATATAATAACAATCAAATCTCTTTTTGTTAATATTGATTTATTTGAATTAAAAAAAAACTTTTTTTGTTTTTCGTTTATCATTTCATTTATTTTTTTTTAATCTTTTTTTTGGAGAGGGAAAAAACCTTTTTTTATTTTCTATATATGATTAAGTAGGAACTATGGTAAATCGAGAAAAAAATTTTTATAAAAAAAAAACTAATTAAAAAATTTAAGAAGACATTTTAAGATTATTTAAGAAAAAACCTTAAGATTATTAAATTATATAAATATATAAATATACATACAAAATAGTTTCCCCATTATTTATTATTCTTTATTCTTTGTATTTATTCTTTATTATTAACCTCCTTTTATAATTTTTATTTTCAAACGTGTATAAATCTTGGCAGTGGTGCGAAACTTAAGATTATTTAATGACGACTAGAATGAATGAATGAATAAATATTTTTTTAGGAAATTTGATTGGATTGATTCCATCAGAAAATTTAACATATTCAAAAAAGGCAATGATATCTTCCTTATAAGTAATACATTCGTTAAAAGTTTTGTTGTAGTGTGTGTAAGGCCCGTTATACAGTAGTGCAGTGCAGGTTATCTATAACCAATTAATTGCTTATATATTAAGTAACAAACAAATAGGTCATCTTCAAAATATTAAAACAAAAAATCACCAACAAGTTTTATTTGTTCATGACTCAAGCCTCTTATCGACTAATTTTTTCTTAAACTGAACAATGGCGTTTTTGAAAATTTCAAATTTCAAAAACCTGGGACCAAATAAAATATGTGTAACAAGCAAATTTTTTTTCGTGGAATATATATATATATATTTTTTTTTTGCATGAATTGACAGCTGAATTGAATGAATGATGGTTTATTTTTAAAATCCAACATGTGGAGTCACATAATATTTTAACAGATCGTGATGATATTAAAGTATTGTATTGAAATCGGCCAATCAAACATGGGCGTGTTTCTGCGCGAAATTCCTTTTGATTGGTCGATCGTCACATTTACTGAATGGAAATCCGTCTGAGATTTAGTAGTAGTAGAGTGAGTGGGGAAAGCTCGCTTCATGTCTACTCGTTACGAAAAGTTCACTCGAAAAAGGGCAATGATTTGCATATTTTACTAAATTAGCAACGATTATCGTTCAATGTTGTCGGTAACATATTTCTTTCCTATCGTCAGGTTAGATCGAAAAAAAAAATATAACATTTATGTTCAATTTTTAATTTTTGCATTATAAAAGATCGAAATTAAACTTAAAAAGGCAACATCCATCTACGCGTAGTCTTGACATTTTTATCCATGAATGAAATAAAGACATATTTCACATTTCAATTGTCAAATGAATTAAAAATTCATTTTGAACGTGTAATTTAATTAAAAACTATTGGTCAATTATAATTAAAAATCATGCGATTTTTCAGAAAAATATTAACTAACTAATTTTAATGATTAAAAAAGGTTATAAATAAATCAACTTGTTTTTTTTTTTGAACTTATTATCTTTTCGCCTCCCTTTTAAATATCACTCTAACAATCATTTATTATTGTTATTATTTTAATTTTTATATTTTTTAAAAAACAAACAATAAACGATTATAAAATGTTAAGTTACGGTTATTCAATAGGCAAGTTATTTTATTTATTTATTTATTTGTTTGTTTGTTTGTTTGTTGATCCTATATTCCAAATCTTTTACCACATGCACACATATTGACACATTGTACCGCTAAATTAATAGGAGATTTATCACCATCGTCATTAGTGATTTCTCATGGATTGTGTAAAATTATTTTATCACCTTTAAAGCCAAGATTCGTAGTAATCGGGACTTTAAGTGAAATAATGGAATGGATGAGATTAAACGGCAATCTTACATGTGAATACGATGACGACAGTGGCGATAAAGATAACAATAAAGATTATTATGATAACATCATTAAAGACAATAATAAAAGTAATGTGACTCATGGTCATAATAAGGACTTGAAGAAAAAAAAATCAGCTACATTCACACATACAAGCACTCCCAGAATAATTTTATTTGAATTATACACTTCCTCACAACAACAACAACAACAACAACAGGAAGAACGTCATCAACATCACACATCGTTTAAAAGTTTCTTTTCATTAAATAAAGTCGATAAATCTTCAAATTCTTCTTCTCCTTCCACATCTACAACAACAATCTTTCATTTGGTGATAAAACCTGAACAGCTATATCAGCTTCATAATGGAAAATATTACACTGTTAGTAAAGAAAGTGTCAAGTATGAAGTTGAAGAAGGCTACACGGTGATTAAACGTAGTAGATGTCAGAATGGTATAACATTAAGCCATGTGTTACGTAAATGGACAACAAATTCAGATAATGACAAAAATCATCATCATTCAAAAAAGTCTGCTAATGTTAAGCTTGGTTCTGATTTCGATTATTAATTCGATTCAGTTAATTGAAAATGATGAAGTAAGGTGGTAAGATTTATAGCTTTACCTTTATAAGTTTAATATATATATATATATATTTATTTATTTATTTATTGTCAATTTATTGTGTATTTATTATGTGATTTAATTAAGACGTATAAAAAAAAAAAACAAACTTAAAATTTAAGAAATGTTATTTTTAAATAATTATAACTGTCAATGTTAATAATAATAAAGTATTTTTTAAATATGAGCTTCTTATTGAATAGATAAATTTATTCCTTGTGATTGAACATCATCATCTTTTTCAACAATAACATCTCCATATCCAACGTCATAATCCGTTGTTTCACCTCCGTAATCATCTCTTAGATATTCATCGGGATATTTTACTATTTGCTGTTGCTCGGTATATTTCGTTATTTCATAACGGTTTTCTGCTTTTGTTTCTTCACAAGGTTGTTGATTATTTTCTTCGCATTGGCGATGATCACCATCCAATTCTTTCTCGTCATCCTCCTCAAGAGATGTGATAGATTCTGGTATTTGGATTTCCGGTGTAGGTCCAATTTGTTGTTCATCAGGATGTTTTCCTTCCAATATATCATCGTCTTCCACCTTTTTTCTTTCTTCTTCTTCGGGTACTTCTAATACAAGTGGTGTAGGTGTAGCTCCAGCTGGTACTTCATCAGAACACTCTTCTTCCTCCTGCTTTTCCTCGACCGTTTCTTTTTCTTCACATAAGATACCTTTGTCTTTTTCTTCTTCTTCAATTACAACAACAACTATTGGTTTATGAATGATAGTTTCTACAGTTTCTACAGTTGGTAATGGCGATAGCGGTGGTGTTGGTGATGGTTTATAATAATCATAATCATGATGACCTTCTTGTTCTTCTTCTTCTTCTTCTTCTTCTTCTTCTTCTTCTTCAATTTGTTCTGTGTCAGTGGGAGTGGATGTGATTGTGGCAGTTTTGGTTTTAGTTGTAGTTTTAGTTGTAGTTGTAATTACAGATGATTGAATTGTGGAGGTGATAGTAACTGTAGATGGTAGTTGTACCGATGCTGATTTCGATGTTGGTAATATACCAAATGGCATAATAGGTCTTCTACACCCTGTACACGCTTTACAACAACCATGATCAAAGCCATTATTTATTAGATATGGTAGTATTGGCTCTTGTAAAGTAATGGTTATTAATAAAAATAATAATATTGGTATTGATTTAACCATCATCCTACTACTACTTCTCTTTATTCTTCTGCTACCACTACCGTGTGTAAGAGTGGGAGTGGAGAAAAAGATGAATACTTATATATATTATTTATAAAATACAAATATAAATATGAAATTTTAATTTAACAATCAATCAATCATGAAATTAGATTTAATCATTCTATCATTTATTTTTATTAAAAAAAATAATTATCGTAAATTATTGACTGATCCGGAAAATTTTTTTAAAATGAATGATTCATTACCATCATTACCACCACCTTAGTGAAACTTTTGACTTTAATCATAATATTGACTAAAAGTAGTTTCTCGTCGGGGGTCATGTTGACGATTGACGAAAGTAAAAATCCCAACAAAATTAAAAAGGTTAAAAACAAAATATTTGACGTAAGATAAGTCTTTTGACATTATTAGTAAAAAACAAAATAATTGATTTTTATTTTTAAAGTTGTGCATACGCAGCATATTGCACGAAAACAGCGATCATTTTATGCGCAATAGATAGAAATCAGAACAAAAAACTAAATAAACAAATACTAAAAGTTTTATCCATCGATGAAGATCCAAGTTCTAAAAAAAATAAAAGATCAGGACAATTAACTTCATCAATTGATTTTTCTGGCAAAGCTTATATTCCAATGCAAGCTTAGCAAATGTAAAATTTTATGATGAATCAAATATAGTTGCTTGTTTTTGGAGGAAAAGTGATTATGGTAATAATTATATTCTTTATGTGAATGAACATAAATAACTATATATTAATATGCCATTTAACTTGGAGTTCAAATAATTACAGATAATTTTGGCAACTATTAAGGTTAATTATGACAACTATGAAAAACTAATCATGGCGTTACAGATATATGGCAATTATCATTTATCAAGACAATCGAGCAAGTAAATTAACAATACAACCTCGCTCGTTGTAATGGGATTTTTTTCAATAATAAATAAAAATTTTTGTTATAACGAATTTATAATAAGTCTTATAGTATGATGGACATTTTAAAAACTTACTATTACTATAAAAAGTAAGTGCTAGGAATGGTTCTGGAACGGTTCTTCATTTCACCCTAAGAGGTGACAATTATTAGCTGAAAGCTTCATAAAACATATGTATTTTTTTTTAATTATTATTAGAAGTAACAATTTACTCACACACAGCTTCTCTTGCAATTCAGCATAGGTAAATTATTTGCAATTATTGACAGCATACAAATACGACCATCTTGTCCCTTTTATTTTCATTTATTGTTTCTCCAAAAAATTCCCAAAAGAATTTTTTTATACAGAAACCATTAAGAATACAACCGAGAAAGTGTTTGTTGATCTTGTAATGTATTTTAGTGAACAACTCCAAAATTGATACTATATTTTTTTTTCAATTTATTAATTTTAAATAAAAAAATTTATCTACCTTAGATTCATCCTCTTCAAATGGAGTTACATTATGGCAACCAGCTGCTTTAAGCATTGCTCTTCATGCTCCAAGTTTACATTCTTTGGAAATATATCCTGATGGGTAAAGTTTTTCTAAATTAGAGAATGATATATTTTCGGTGACAAATTTTAGACGCAACAAACTTCACGATTATATGATTGACAAACAAATTTTTAATACAGAAATAAATGAATAAATGAATAATACATGTGGGAAATTAAAATTATTTGGTTGTATTATTTTTTGATTATCTAATAATTTCATTTTTTTCAATAATTTAAATGCTTTAATTGACGATCCGCGAATGAAGCAGAGGATTCGGCGGTGCAAAAATGATAAAAAATCGTCAGTTGACAATGTTTAAAAAATAATAAGGCACGATGTTTTGATATTATAAACTTTATTCTTTTTATTTATGTATAAATTAAGTCGCATAGATTATTGTATCAAAATATTAAAGGGCTTGGAATGTTTCTTGCAAACGTTTATATGTAGGAAGCTGAGATTTCAAGTTCATAACATATAAAAATTTGTAATTTTTTAATTTTCAGTCAACACTATCAAGTATTCTGGCCAGAGCTATACATTTTTTTTATTGGTTTATCAAAAAAAACAAAAAAACTTTTATTTTACCATGTTGTTATAAGTCAAGTCAATAAAATAACTGCAAAAGAATTTTAAAATAGTATTCAACGATCTTGAAAGAATTCTAAGGTACTTTTTGTGTATACATGAGAGTTAATGTATGAGGACGGTGAGATTTGATCATTTCTCTGATTCATTCACGAATCAGCAATTAAATTCTTTGTTGAAGAAAATTAAAAGCTATTTCAAAGGCAATTACAGCATTTTTCATGTGGATCTGCTGTGATGAGACTAGTAGTCATATAAAAAGACCCCATTAATGTTACGGAGCAAATTTGTTAATAAAATCTGTTATGACAATCATTTTTAATTAATAAAAAAAGGGGCCAATACTTAAATCCATTGTAACAAGAAATCTGTTGTAGCAAGGTCCACTGTAGCCCAAATTGGTTTGGTGGTTCCAATGGTCAAAATTATTCCAATTTTGAAGAAATTAATTACAGCACTTACAGTGAACCCTCCATAAGTGCACCCCTCTATAAATGCATCCCTTCATAAATGCACGCTATGTCTCATTCCCAACCTCGGGATTAGAGATAAATGCACACCCTCCATATTCTGCACTGCACGGTCTTCCCCCATCCCGTTCATATAAAACCACCCTCTCTAAATACACGCCCGTGACTTTTACGTGATTTATTTGCTAAATAAATTCGTGTTACATTATTAATTGAAACGTTATTTATATCTATTTATCATTTTTGTTACCTCTTTTTTAATATTAGTAATGGAAAATAAAGGATGATGCAAGCTACTATTACTTATAAAGGATTAAATGAATGGTTGCTAATTCTTTCTTTTTAATTGACAAAGAGTTATTAGAATAATAATGATAAATACACAAATGGAGAAAATTATATATACGCGAAATTAAAAAAAATTAAGGATTAAACAAAGGATAAAAGATCACAATTTTTTTTTAAAATTTATGTTTAATAAAAGTAACCAAAATAAAATAAGAAAATTCTAAAAACAATTAAGACAAGTTAATGCCCTTGAGCAATTTATTAATTTAAAAAAAAAAAATCAATGAAGCAAACCACAATGGAACAATTTTTTAGTCAACAATAATATTTAATATGTAATAATAATAATATAATGTTTATTAGCATCACGTGCAACCAATAAAATTCTTCCCCTCTATAAATGCATCCCTCCATAAATGCACGCTCTCATCCATTCCCAAGGGGGTGCACTTATGGAGGGCTCACTGTACCATTAAAAAATAAGTGTAACACCCCTTTATGACATGTGTGACCACTTTATGACAGTGTCAAAATACTTTGGGCTGCATGTATAGCTGTGACAAGGTATGACTGTAATAATTATAAAAAAATTAATATTAAATGATGGTTAACTGGTTAATCATTTAATTGCAGTTAACAGCACCAACTCCTAAGCTAGCTAAGAAATTTATCAGCTTATGCAACTTAGATGGCTTACACAGCTTAGCTGGCTAAAAAAAAATTTCTCTTAACATGAATTTTTGCATCTGAAATTTTAATGCATAATTCAGTAGCATAGACATTTAATTGAGATGGATCTTGCATTACTTAGAATGACAAAAAATCATATGTTTGCTCATAAAACAAAATACAATCCATCATAGCAGGATAAAAATCATAGATTTTCTATTTGTAATAAATACAATTCTTATTTTAATTTGAATTATTGTTATTTTTTTTTACTCAAAATATTCATTCTATTTGAACTATTCGTTTTTCATTTTATTTGAATTATTCAGTTTTTGTCCTATTCAAATTATTCATCCTATTTGAATCATCCATCCTATTTGAATTATTTTGTTTTATTCAAACCATTAAAGGCAAAATATTATAATAACAATAATAAATAATAGTGATAATATTATAGTAATAAAATAATAAATAGTAGAGTAATAATAATACCAGCAAGCTTAGTACCATCTGAAAAGTTTTTTCATCAACTGGGGTTTATTTAAGTTCTTAGGCAGCTAAGCCATTTAAGCCAGCTAAGGGCTAACATCACTATTAGCCAGTCATTCATTTACAATGAAATTATGTGTAAAAAGAAAATTTGCAGCAACCATATCTGTTTGTGGCAGCCTGTAACATTTTATCATGAGTACAATAATGCACAAATAAGAAATAATTAACAGTTAAACAAATTAATTTTATATATTAAGTATTTTTACTAATTATGTTTAGGAATATTCAGATAGATGAGATTTTCTTATCATTATAAATAAAGAATAACTTATATTTTTACTACAATTAAAGTATTTGTTTGTAGGAAAGTGTTTAATTAGTTTTGAAGTAATTCTTCACAAATTCTTTTACACTGCCATAGCCATTTATAACAGCTGTATCTGCTTGTGGCAACCACATCTATTTGTGGTAGTCATATCTATTTACAGCAGCCGCATCTATTTGTAGCAGTTGTATCTATTGCAGCAGCCATAAATATTTTATAATGGTGGTTACCATTGCTGCAAATAACTAATCATGGCAGGTGTCTTTAATTGAGATAAACCAAGAGATGAAGAAGGTAAATATTTATCAAAAAAGTATGTCATATTTATACATGAAGTTGAAATTAAAACCCCAAAGTCAAAATGTTTTGACTTGAGGCAAATACATAGTAATGACCCTATTTTGTCCAGATCTGCAAATGGTCAAAATATATAGTTTCGACTTCATGTATAGTCAGTCATATTAATAATAAAATTGATGATGAAGATAATGTGATGCAGAAAGAGAAAGAAAAAGAGTCAGATAATTTGGATGATATTGACAGTAATGAAAAATGGGGAAATGATGATGATAGTGGTTGGGAAAATGTAGAAAATATCAAAGAAGAGAACAAAAATATATGCATGGAGTTGAAGGAAAGTTGGTTGAATATGTAGTGAAAAAGTATAAGTCGCATAGAAGAATTCCTGACTATGTTATTCAGGAATTGAATAATAAAAAATAGATTTTAATTTTTTCCCTTCTAATTATTTTTATTTCTAATAGTTTCTATATTAGAGGCCTGCATGGATAACAATAATTGAACCTGTATCCAACTCATACCCACATGATATCAAAATTTGTACCTATACCAAACCTGTTCCTCAAAATTTTATATCCAAACCCAAAATTTCCAAATTTTAACCAAACCCAGAATATACCAAACCTTTTTTTATTTAAAAAAAATATAAAAAGTACAATAATAAAAATTTTTAATTAAGAATAGGAGTGGGATCAATCACTGAAATTTCATCAAATGTTATATCCTCCACTGCTGTTGTGATATCATACACTGCCATTAACTTTGTGTTTTTACAGAATTCATGGCAGAAATAGTAAAACTCCATCTTTCTCTTGTCTCCTCCTTATTGAATTTACAGTGTTATTGATATTGTGGAGCATTTCTATAATATAAAGGAAGGGAGAATTGGCAATCATTTGAAAGATATGAATTGATTGATTGAAATGAATGATGAAGGATTGAAGGGGAAAGCCATAACAGATAAGTGGATGGATACATTAGCCAAAACTTAAAAAAATAATATTAAATTGTAAAAGAAAGAAAATGAAGAAGGAATGCAACAAATGATGAAAACTGATCTTACCTATTTCTTGATTATAAAGTAGTGATATAGTAAGGCAGATTGGTGATTGAACAAAGAAAAAGACAGATTAGTAAATATCATCCAAATGGATAAACAAATAAACATAATGGAATAAATGGAAATAAATTCATGTGTATTACCCAACATTTGTAACATAAGGTCTTTACCAATACTTTTTTCTTCTAAGTCTTGTAATCTTTCTAAATTTGTCCTTAAAGAAAATAATTGTATTAGAAAAAAATTTTTTTTCTATATATAGAATTAATTACTATCAAAATAAATACTTTTATCATTTACATTTTCTTTGTTGTGACTCTGAATTTTCCTTAGCTAATACTTTTTTTATGTCTTCTTTTTTAAAAGAAACTAGAGTGACAATGAGTGGCAATAACCACCACCACTATTCTTTTGATAAACACTTACTTGTGGATGGCACCAGTATTGTTTTGTGCTTTTCTTTTTTTACTTTCTTTAAAAAAAAGCACAAAAGAATTAAAAGAATTATGTACACATTAATTATTTATTATTGGCACTTGGTGTTGTACAAAGATTTTTTTTGACAACACAACCTTTTTTTTGGAAAAACAATAACAAAACACAGTTTTCCTAAAGAAGATGTGTTAATGACAAAGGTACTTTTTTTTACTTGTATTGATATAATGTGGTGTCTTTTAGTTTATAAATATTATAATGGGAATCAAACACAAAGCAGCACTTGCTGGTAATTATAAGATTATTATCAAGATTGCATATTTTGCTTTTCATAATCAATATTAATAATAACATTAATATTAAATAATAATAAATAATTACAAGATGTCAAGGCAGCACACCATTGAAAAGAAGCATTTCAAGTATGTGATGTTTGATTATTGGAAATTGGCAGACATTAAAGCACTCATGCTGCCTTTGAACACTTTACAGTCATTCTCACACATTCCTTGGACACAAAAGGTTAATCTGACCTGCTACACCCTATGGATATGATGCAAACAAATACCAGGGAGAGGTGCAAGGCCCTGGAGTTTATCAAAACTGCACCAATAGTCAATGATGCTTTTCACTAATCTTCCCTCACAGCACCCAGACCAGAGATGGCCACTGGCATGCTGGCTGAAAAGTTGCCTGCAATTATCCTACTCTAGGGTAAGGATGGCTCTGTGACCAAGATGTTGTAACTCTAGAGGAATATTGAGAGAATCTGCAACTTGTTTCAAGCTCAGGAGGTCACAATTAAGAGCAGGGTTTGTGACCCTGAAATTGTATTTGGACTCTCATGCTAAGAGGAAAGTTGTAAAATAGTGTTTGTTTGTATAATCATTTTCCTAAATGCTCTGTTTCTTTGGTTTATAATTTTGGGTAGGAGACTGGATGGGTTTTTGCCCAATCAGTCCTCTGTCCTATAGATTAAAATTATTGCATGATTATATGTATCTTTGTCAGCAATATGGCCAACAAGGAAAAAGTTATAAAATGGTTTGGATTTTGTTTGTTATAAATTAATCATATTCCCAAATTCTCTGTTTTCTTTTGATTTTTATTTGACCAACTGAACTTGATATTTTTTAAACAGAGGCTTTTGCCCATGTAACCCACCCCAAGTTAAAGGAGTGTAGCTCAATGAGAGCACGTATCTTACAAGTATAAAGGTGGCAGTTCGATTCTGCCCACTCCTATTATGATAGTCACCATGATCACTGGCATCATGGAGAAAGCTATAAAATAAAATGGTTCAGATTTTGTTTGCTATGTTATAAATTAATCATTTTCCCAAATTTTCTGTTTCTTTAATTTTTATTTGACCAACTGAACTTGTTATTTAAGTAAATGGGGTTAGGGTTGTTGGTGAGCAGACATGCCACAAACAAGACAGCAATCCAACCCTATAAAAAATTTGGCATAGAAATGTATGGGAAAATGTGAATTTCAGGTAAAATTCCATGCATTTTTGTATGGAAAATGTACATAAGGCACAGTTTCCTTGCATTTTCTGTACATTTTCTGTACATTTCCCAATTATTTTTTGAATGGAAAATACAGAAAATGCATGGAAAATGCACAGAAACTGCGCCTTCCGTACATTTTCCATACATTTTCCCATACATTTCCATGCCAATTTTTTATAGGGCAAGACTCAAAACCCTGAATCCAAAACAGCAACCCAGGTTGCAACTAAGGTTTCTGACCGAAGCTCTCTTTATTAGTAGTCAAAATTGCCAAAACACTTTGGGCAAAAATTACTTTTTTATAAGCCCAAACTATTTTTTGTTATTAGCCAAAATTGGGCGAAATTACTTTAAAGTTGTTTAAGTTAAAATAAGTTGATTGGTATAGCTTTTTTATGTTTATGTTTATAAAAAATGCTGAGAAGACCAAATTGCCCAAACTAGTTTGGGCTTTGAGAAAACGGTTTGGACCAGAAACCTTAGTTGCAACCTTCTGAGCTGGAGAATTTTGAATCAGGTGCCAACTTTATTCTAGAGAGGTATAACACAAAGCAATCATCACACGAGTGTCAACTCTTGTCAGTGATCAATGTACATATGGAAACAGCCAGCCTGGTCTGATGGAAGGATAAAGAAAAGGGTTGTCCAAAGCCTTCCAACATGTTCAACCCTCCTTCACCTGTGGAAAACATTCGATGGTGCTGAATTGTGCTTAATTGCATCGTGATTGCATGTTTGAGATAAAAAATTTTTATTAAATCTGACATCTGTGATCAACATCAGATTTATTATTCATAAGGAATCATAATTGATAATCAGGAAAAATAATTTATTTTGTGAATCCCAGAGATCTGGGTAGACACATTATTAAAAGTTTCATTCATGCAATTATTTGTTATGTCAATGATGTATTGAATAATAATCATGACCATCATGAATGTTCAATGGATGGAGGCATTCACATACAAGGAAATAATTAAATAGCTAAGTCATGTTTGTTTTATTAAAGATGTATAATTAATTACATTTAGAATATACAATAAAAAAATTGCATGGAATCCAAGACTGCACCACTATATCAATCAAGCTATCATGATATATATTTTAATCAACTCAAGATCTTGTTTTCTATGAGTTTGATTGATAATTCCTCGAATCTGTGCCATTTTAATTACCTTTTCATACTACAATAAAAAATAATCAATTAAAATGATAAAAATCTCAATGTAGTGTAAAAAAAACTTACATTAAGTCTATTTCTACATGAAGAATGTAAAAATCCTGCAGAAAACTCAAAATTCTTTTAGCTATATAACCCAACTCAGTTGTTTTCTTTGCACACCAATCCTAATAATTCAATATGTCACCATTCCATTGATTCCAAGTGATTTCATTAAATGGATATTGTTTATTTTGATACATACCAAACTCACGAAGTATTTTCACTGGCTGGCTTTGTTTCCATGCACAATAATAATATATCAACAATTGACCAAAATCAACCCAATTAAGCTTGGGAAGAGTAGTATTGAATTTGTCAAATCTGTAAGATGGGTGTAAAATAAAAGAAAATAAAATTAATGGTTGCTCCCAGCCCCACCATCCTTTTTCAAGTCTTACACACATTTTTTCAGAAAGATATGCATCTTTTTCTGTATCTTTAAAAACTTGGTAAAAATATCTAAAAGAATGTAGGGCTTCATACAAATAAGATTTATAGTAATGGATGTTAATAAACTGCAAGTCCATTTGGCATGTGAATGTGAATACATTAAAGAAGAGATCAAAAAAAGATATATGTATATTGTTGCAGAAAGAGATGGTGTAAGTGAATCTTTAGAAAATACAGCATGTAAAGCAAATACACAATCACTTGCTAATTTTTGGGATAAAGATGAGATATTATCAAAAGAACATACAGGAATTATAGATTGTTCGATTTTAAAGGTTTTTGTGGTTTGCAGTATTCCCTTTAGAATAATTGAAAACCCTTGTTTCATCAACATGTTAAAAAATTTCAGATCAAATTATAAACCTCCTTCACGAGATTGTCTTAGCACTAAATTATTATTAGATGAAGCTGTTCATGTGGATATAAAAATTAATAATATTTTAGGAAAGGCTAACAACTTGACATTGGCTATGAATGGTTTTTATTTTATTAAAATTATTTGTTAATTGGAATTTCAGGAGTTTTGAAACAGTTTAGGAGTTTTGAACAGTTTAGGAATTCAGGCTCATTTTCTAAACCAGTTTAGAATGGTTTTAATTTCAAATAGTCCTAAACTCATGAGTTTTGAAATGCAACTCTACTTTGTTTATCATATATGCCACATTTATTCAAATCAGTTGAAGTGTTAAAGCAATCCCAAAATTTATCAACTTTATTTTGAAGCCTCTGCATTGGGAAATTTTCCCCGTCATAATATTATGTCCATATATTTTAATATATAAAGTTGTAATATACAATGTAATAATTGCATAGTTTTTGTATGATTTTTGCATAATATCACAGGACCTGCCATAAACTTATGTAAATAGTGTAACAATTATGTAAATCCACATCAGAAAAATTTCCTGGCGTGGTTCATTTTGATATCTCCCTTTCTGATAGATTGTATTTATAAGGTTATTTTATATAAATAGAGTGTTAAAGAATGATCACTTGATGGATCCTCTGCACATGTCCAAATTCAAGCTATTTATCACATTAATTATCTCATCATTACTCTCTATGCTCTAATATTTTATTGGTAATTATGTGACCTGTAGGATATATATATAGAAGCAAGGTGCAAAGTAAATTCAACAACAGTAGTTATTCGTTGCCTTCATTCATAAAAAACTGATACCAATTTAAATCAGTAACTGTTATGTTTTCTTTTCAAATGCTTCTCAAATGCACGTGTCATTATTTCACAGTTATTCCAATTATAAAGTGTGCAATAAGGTGTATTTATATATAGATCAAATAATTCTTTTCCATCAGAATCTTTCAAGATAGGCATCTTTTTCCAAATATCAGTAGGAGTTATTCCAGTACGAGTACAAACTATCTTTTCTTAAAGATATATATCAATTTAACAATTTGTGTCATGTATTGATTGATATACCAAAGACTTTTTTTCAGAGTATCTGTGATGAAAAGGCAAACAATAACCAGAGCCTGCAAAATTCAACTCTTCTTCATCTGAAGTACCAAATGCTGCAACAAAAATTATAATACCATTAGTAACAATTTCAAATGGAAAAAATAAAATGCCTATTTCATCATCAAAGCCCAAAACATTTGGTCCAAAATAATTTTCATTTATAACTTCACTCGATGTTGAATAAATCACAGCATACTCATATGACTCACATATATAACAAGACTTCATACTGTCTTTTGTATTTACTATTCGGATAATAAAATTCTTTTTCAACCTTAATTTTCATATTAATTCTTATTGGATAAGATATTTTGCATTTTCTTTATTAATAAAATTTCACCAATAAATGCCGAACGGGCCATAATGAATGTTTTGATTGATTTCGCCAGGTGCTAAAATTTATCTTTGATATGTTTGTATAGAAATGAGGATTAACTTGTGAAGACAGTTAGATTCAAGAAAATTTTATAATAAAATGATCGACATTCGCGGAGTCAATAAAATTTAAATTTTATTCTCGAGCTTTATTGGCTGGAACGTTTCAAAATCCAATGTACATAAACTATTGAAAGGCCTGCGACTTCCAAAATATTCCAATATGGCTTCTAATTCCCAATGAAAGGTTGTTGGAAACTTCCAACGCAAAACGCATTAAAATGGTGGGGGGTGAATAATCTATCCTCCAAAAATATGTCACATGATCAAAACTGAACAGACCTATTACACCATTTATTAATAATTTAATAGTATACAATAGAAGATAATTTAGTCACGTTAACGATGACTAAAGTTTCATCACATATCATAATATTTTTTTTGGAGCCCTTAAACTGACTGGCCGACATGTCATACGTGACTAGTGTTGACCAAATGTAGTTTTTCACCAAGGTCATTTTGACGATTCAACTAAAGCCAAAACACTTTGTACGAAATAGTAAATCTTGACATAAGTAAAACAAGTAAATAATTAATTTTTTCCATTTTATTTGACAATAGTTCAATTTTGTAAAAAAATAAGCTTTTGATAATTGAAATCTTTTGATGCTTATTTTAGAGTGAGTTCTTTCTGCTTCTAGCAACACTTCAAATCTATTTCACCACTTGCCACCTTTTCTTCCACCATCACCACCACATCGTTATCTCTTTCATCATCGCTATCATTATCACATTAATTATTGGTTTTGTATAAATTAAATAATAATCTTTTTTAAGTTTATTATCTTTAATTGTAATAATTATTTTCTTCCATTAATTATTTAATGCATTAAGTAAGATTAATTTGATTAAAGCTTCGTTTGTATAGAATATAAATATTTGCTTTTACGCTTTGTTGAATTATTCAATCCACACTATAACAAATTTAATCATAAATAGATAATTCTAAGTTCAAATTATTATGTTAAAATTAAACGCCTTCCCCATTTTATTAATTAACCAACTTTTTCATCCACAAGAAACTACTAACTATTTCAGGGTGTAAATGATTGCAGGCGTATTCCCCGCAACAGAGAAGGCTTGCTCTGAAGCAACACTTGTATTTTGAATAGAAAGAAAGTCTCGTGCGATTATTTCCTTTGTTTACTCTATTATTGATACTAATTATTTATTTTAGGTCTTTTAATTTTTGGATTATTATACAACTATGGAATACTCTTAACTGGAAATAGTACCAGTTTAAAATGAACCGCGGTTCAACTGCGGTTCAACTGGGGTCAACTGTCGTCAAACTGCAGTTTGATAATCATAATAATGATGCATGCATAATTAATAAATGATAAAATCTAGATTTTCAATAATTTTAAAAGCGTCCCAAATTTCCTGATCCAAATACCAACTACGTAATTAATTCATAAATTATCCTGTTTTTAACTGAGACATAAGCTGCGGTTTAATGTATAAACTAGTAAATTTGTCTGCGGTGCGGTTCATGGGTCAAACCGGCAGTTTGTAAACCGATCCTACTCTCGCATCGGTTACGCAAAAGCCATCAATTATTATTGGCTTACCAAAATGGTATCTGCTCCTCGGAGCGATCAATTCAAAAAAAAAAAAAACCAATTGCATCAAATAATTACCTGTATTCTAACCATCATTGAGAAATATTATTATTATTACCATTTCTATATCACTCATTTGTCTTGTGTTCTATGCACGATATGAAATTATTATTTGTTAGTGAACGTTTATTCACTCAATCAATCAATAAAATGAAATGAGATAACTACGTTAAGTTATTTAAACTATCATTAATACTAATCTATCTTTCATTAAACGCGTAGACGTGTTCATAAGTTGTAAATGAGTGATTCATCATCCAATGAAAAAATGATGCCATATTAATAATATTAATAAAAATACGCTAACCCGTTATCATTTTTTCATAGAAATTAATATTTGTCAAACAACAAACATGATAATGATTACACTGATGCAAGTTTTTCTGAAACTGAAAAACAAAATAAATAAAGAGTAGTAAATAATACACATTAGTAATAATAGTATATAATAGTATAACTACTAATATAACTATTATTGTTGTTGTTGATTTTCCATTCATTTCCATTATCATTATTATTATCATTATTATTATTAGCATCATTATAATTAAATTTGTGTAAATTAATAAATAAAATTTTCATTTTACAACTTTTAAAAGAAGAAAAACACGCGTTATATTATTTCGAGAGTCGCGTGAATCATTTATAACAACAGGTTTAAAAACTATTATAATAATAGAAGAGTAAACATACAAGCATGTCTTGTTCCTTTTTTTCGTAAATCAAGCATTATTTTTTTGCATGTAAGTTTGTTCAATTTAAACAGGTAAAATGTCAAGAATATTTCTTCCTTTCATTCTAAGACATCCATTCCCATTCCTTGGGATAAATAAAAAAGCAGTAAAAGCCCTTTAAAATTTTCCATATTTACTATATTATTATTTATCATTTGTGAAATATTAATATTGTTTATTATTATTGTAGGAATGAATTACACTGGCCGGAATTTCTACTGGTTAATTAATGTGGCGTCATTGTTAAAATCTTATGGATTACTCGGGGGAAAATTTTTTATACTAGAATAAAAATGCTGTGCTAAACGATATGAAATTGTTGTTGACGCGTTATAATTATAAAAACACAACAAACAATTGATTTAATAATTTAATCACATTAAAATAGTAAGAATTTCCTTCATTTGAAATTTTTACATACATAATTTATTGTTTGTTTGTTTTTTATTTTAGATTTGGTTTTGAAAGAAGGTGAGTAATCAAAACGTTTTATTATACACATATTATTAAATAATATTGTTTATGGTGTATTTAAATTTTAATTGGTAATTTGAAATTCTTATTGTTTTGAGTTCTTATTGTTTTGAACATTTAGTATGACAAATTAAAAAAAAAAAAGAAGCCAAATTTTACGCGAGTGCTTTTTACCTCAAAATAAAAAATATTTTTTGTCTTTAATGCTTGAATTGGATAGATTACATACATAATATATATGCACATAATAAAACTTATTTAATTATAACTTTATCTATCTATTATTAGTGACTAAAAAGAGCGGAACAAATCTTATGATGAATTAGTTTCACCGCACCAATCATTATTTTATTAGCTATACCCATATCAACGGAGCAACTTTTCCGTCATAGCCCATTCATGATAAAATATTATCGCGCGTTTCTCACAAAAATATAAGTATATAGTTTGGAACACAATTTAGAATTCTAGAATAACAAAACGGGTAATCATTGGTTCTACAATAGGGCACATGAGTTTTTTCTTGGAGGATATCGGGTAAATAGCAGTTAAATAATATGTATATCATTTCCTGTTTGCTCCCATTGTCTATTAAGTTTAAAATGATTCTGGATGATTCTAAATGATTAATAAAATCTTCGGGGCACCCATGCATTAATTTTTTCATTGACACAATGGGAAAATTTTGTGTCATTATTTGTGGCTTGAATTCGTTCACTCGCCACTTCGCTCCAACTCAACAATGTAAAAAAGTCACATTACAAACGTGGGACACGCAGATGTACATAAGAAATTAAGAAGCAATTTAAAATTATAATATTAATAATCAATAATCAACCCGCTTTTAACATTAAATTTATTTATAAATAGGTTATGTGATAAATTTTGGCAAGTATTAATTTTTAAGCCACTCAAAATTTACCAAACTAATTGAATCTATTCCAACAATATATTACTAATAATTTTTTTACTATATTTAATCGAATTTTAATTCTGTTGGTTTTCTTGGTTTTCTTTATTTATTTTCTGCATTCTGTTTTAATTCGATCAAAAAAGGAAAATGACTCGAATTCACCGTAGAAAATAAATGTGTTATAGATCTGATTAAAAATAACAAAAATAACAAATAATTAATAAATATATTTTTCATTTTAGTTGCATAAAAAAAATTTTTTTTTTATACATGTAACGCATTTTTTTTTTATAACCTTATATAAATAACCGAAAAATTTGCACTCATCTTCAAAAAAATCAAAAATTAAAAAATAATTTAAAAAGTTTAGCTTCATATTACATAAAATAAAATATATATATAATATATATAGAAACTATAAATAGTAAAATAATTTTTAAAACATCGTTTTTTATTAACACACTTTATATTTAAAATCGAATTTTAAATATAAATATCAAGTCTTTTTCTTCTTATTATTTTCTTTCAGGTTCATTCCTCATCATACAATCAAAATATATTTTTACGTTCACATATATTTATTCGTCTATTTTTTGAAGAATCAACCAAATTTTTCTTTCATTCATCTTAGTGAACTTGTTATGCATTCATACTTTAACAACAATTCTTCTCATAATAATATTTCTGACGATATTTTTAAACTTATGATGGAAGGAAATGATTTAACAAATAATATTAATTTCCAAAGTATCGAAAATTCCTCAATGTCAATTGATGATTTCTTCTCTAATATTACTACATCCACACATGATAATTATTATGTTGGAAGTAACTTTGGTAGCAGCGATAATAGCAGCAGCAGCTGTAGTAATGATACAACTGCAAACAATTCAGCTCAAACTACTCCTGTAATCTCGCAAGATACAAATCCGTTACTCTCGTTTTCACCTTTACAACAACAACAACTTACAGTCATTTCTTCTCCTACTCCTCCTCCTCCTGCTTTTCCTGTCACTACTCCCATTCTTCCTTCCAACACGTCATCATCGATCTTTTCCATTAAACCACCTTTTCCTCCCGTAATCAGTGTTGAAGAATTGGTCTCTTCTAAACCAAACGGTGACAAACCGTCAAAATCCAGTAACGCGTTTATCATTTACAGAAAAGCTTATGTTAAAGAACTGCATTCTCGTGGTATCAATTTACAAATGACTCAGATCAGTCCAATGGTTTCTGAAAGTTGGAAAAAAGAGCCGGCTAACGTTAAAGCTGAATACAAAAAATTAGCTGATGTTGCTAAACAGCGTTATAAAATAATTTGGCCCGCAAAAGTTAAAAGAAGACATCGTAAACAACCAAATTCTCAACAATTACAACCACATCAAATGCAGCAATTGCAACAATTACATTTACAACAACAAGAATCCTCTAGATCAAATGATTTCGCATCATCATCATCATCACAATCACAAACACAGAATCAACAACAAAAACAAAATGACGCAAATTCTTTGGATTTAAATGAATGGATTAATTTTGGCCAATCTTCGTCTTCACATTCATCAACAATTCCTACAATTGATCAGTCGCCAATTATCAATATTGCTAGTAATCTTGATGATAATCCAATTATAAATAACACAAGCACTTTTCCTAATATTCTCGCCAACAATTATAATGAGACGTTAACATCGCCAAATACGTCAACGTCATCAAATGAATTAACGTCATCAAATGAATTGACGTCATCAAATCCATCGACGTCATCAACATCGATAATACGCAGTATGCCAGAACCTACGGATCGTGAAGGTTCACTATTAGCATATCATCAACTAATGATAAACTGGCATAAAGAATTACGTCGCCATCCGTATCGTACAATTTCTGAAGCAATGAATGTATCTATTTTTACCTTTCATATTGTTTAACAATATAATTTTTTTTTATATTTATGTATATATATAATATATTATATACATATACACTTTTTATATAACTTTACTTTTTTTTTCTCGATTAAATTTTCTCTTTTTTTTTTGTTTATTAGATTAAAATTTTATTCTTTTTTCTTTTTAACTTTTCTTTTCAAAAAAAAAAAAAAAAAAATTTCTCACTATGGCAAAAAATTTTAATAATATTATTTGTATAATGATATTGTATATATATGTATAATCGATATTAAGATGATTTAATATGGTTTTGTTTTAAAAGTAATTAAAATTCGAAATAAAAAAAATTAAAACTATATACTACATTTAGCGATATTTAAAAATAATATATATATTTAACTCGTTAACATAATTATCTATTTTTTAGATATTAAACATTTTCAAGAATCAATCGATTCATTTTTAAATCAGATGCCGATCCCAGCCCGAATTGCTGAAAGTTTTTATTTTTTTCTTGCCATCTAAAATAATTATATCCACCCGCCCACCACATACAATTTTCTTCCCTCCCATTTTTTACTTTTGGCCTTTTCAAATAGTCTTTCCGATACGATTGGCTTGATAGCATTATGAGCCTTTTTTTTCTTTCCGCCATTACTTTTTAGTTCTCACACGTTTTCTTCCTACTGCTGCTTCAAAGTATCGTTTATTATAATAGATTGTACAGTAAGTTTCTGTTTGGATTAACTAACGGATAAGTCACAGTCAGTGAAATGGTGGTTGGAATTACAATATTTCCGACATGATAGTCTTCTTTTAAGAAATTTCTTAATTTAAGACTCCAAAGAGGACGGCGAATATCGTAAGAATAAACGAAAAAAGTATTTAAAGGAACGGAACGAGTTTGAAAATTGATAACGTAGTAAGAAACAATAGAACGAAATAATAAAGAAGATAAAGAAAACGAAACAATAAAAAAAAACCTCCCACAAATACTATCGTTTATAGTAGCAATTTATCCACAAATAGTTCATCTGATTATTCAAATCACTCCTAAAATTAGTAATTATTCAATTTTTTGCACCAATTAAAATTATATAAATGCGCATTAATTCTGCGGCCAGTTATTCTGTTGAAACTGGTTATTATTATAAGCATCGTTAGTACGCGTAACTTTTTTTAGAAATATGTCAGAAATTAGATTTTTTGGTGAAACTCTCTCTCTTATAAGTAAGTGATTTTCATTATTGTACTTTGTGTGGCATTTTATCCTTAATAAACACATCTCGGGTCAGCCAGCTTTTCAGCCCCATGTAACGATGCACAAAAGATAACATACGGGTTTAAGCGACTAATACGGATGTGGCTAGAGTTGCATGTGATATTAATATGTTGTCATGGAAAAAATTCTCCAGATAATTCTGACTCGGGTTCTGACGTAAAAAAAGTTGTTTTTTCCAATTACTATTGTAATTAAAAAATTAAATGAAAAATTCACAAAAAAAAACCGTGTTTTCTATATTCTATTGTTTCCGTTTAATCCATAATTATTATTTATTATTAATTCGTTAAACTTTTGTTAATCCAAGAAAAATTCTTTTGTAATCTTTAATTGGTAAGGTAAGGAACATTGCCTGCATTAATTAATCCAAATAACGTTGATCATTTTTAAACGTGAAATCATTGTTCTGGTATTATTTAGAACTTTTATATACATTACGTGAGACACACGTTTAAAAATAATTAATTGCACAAAAACGTACTAAACAATTAAATAAAAATCATCGCTTTGTAGTCTAGTTTCACAAAATATGTAAACAAATAAAAAAACAAAAAAAACTTTAACCAAAATTTCTTTGTCAATCAATCATTTAAAAATCAATTGTTCAAAAAACGCCTATCTAAATTTTCATAGACGTTGTTTTTGTAATTTATAAAAAATTGGATTTCAACAAACGAAATTATTGTTCTGCACAATTAGTCAAGCCAGTCGTTTGATTGAATATCTAATTGAGCATTTGTGGTAAAAAGAGTTAGAAGGGGCAAAATTGGTCGAGTATGTCAAAGAGAAAAAATTGAAAAAAAAAATCACAAAATTTTGAAACATATTATTATGTAGGCTTTAGAACAGTTATTATTATATTAAATTCCCTTTTTCAAAAATAATCGAAATTATTTTATTTTTAATTGATAAAGCTCTAGAAAACTTGGGAAGCATGAGATTTTATATTAATAATTCTTATAACTTGAGCTTGCAAATTTGTCTGATCCTTTTTGTTTTTGGGGTGTCTAATACTTTTTTAGTAGAGGTCAAAAAATTTAGTAAAGATGCGAATCAACTTTGGCAATAGTAATTCATATCAAAAGGTTTTTAAATAATTTTATTGAATTATCTTTGTGATGCTATTTTTCACGCTGTATATGATGTATTTTCTTTTAAAATTCCAGATGTGTACTTTTAAATTAATAAAAAATCAGTAAATTTTGATCTATGTGATATTTTACATATAATTCGGTGAACCTAGACTACAAATGGTGTCCATTTTAATGATTTATTAGAGACGCTGATTTTTTTAAAAAAATATTTTTATTGTTAGGCTTGAAAACCTTATTAGAAGAGGCTATAAGCATAAAATCGAAAAAAAAGTGGAGTAAATGCTAATATAATTATATAAATAAATATATATAAAATATATAAAGTGACACTTTTTTTAAAAATTACTCTTTTTACCTCTCAGCACCAAGTGGAGAGAGAGATGCGAGAATTTAATTTTAAAATAATATATAAGAATAATAATATATTTATATAATTTTTTGTTGGCATGGTGGTATAACAAAATAAAAAATAAAAATAAAATAATAAAATATTATATGAAATAATATTTTGTATATATTATGTTTAATACCAACCAAAACCAACAAAAAATAAAAAAATAAAGTGTGTAATATAAAAGAATAAATTTACTCCATCAAATTTTTTTCTGTACATAAAAAAAATTACAAAGTTGAAAAACACTATATATAAGTTTAAAAAAATTTTTTTTTTTTGAAAACATTAAAAATTTCATAATAAAATGAATTATCTTATTTTATTTAAGATCTTGATTCCTTTGTAATTTTTTTTTGAGCTTAATATTCATCAGCCTCTTCTTCTTCTCCTCCTTCGGGTGAATCTGTACCAACTTCCTCGTAATCCTTTTCCAAGGCACCCAAATCTTCACGTGCTTCAGAGAATTCACCTTCTTCCATACCTTCACCAACGTACCAATGGACAAATGCTCGTTTTGCGTACATCAAATCAAATTTACGATCGAGACGTTCCCAAGCTTCGGCAATTGCAGTTGTGTTTGATAACATACAGACAGCCCGTTGAACTTTAGCTTGATCAGCACCAGGAACAACTGTTGGAGCTTGATAATTAATACCAACTTTGAAACCAGTTGGACACCAATCAACAAATTGAATGGTACGTTTGGTTTTAATGGTGGCAATGGCTGCATTCACATCTTTAGGAACAACGTCACCACGATATAATAAACAACAAGCCATATATTTTCCATGGCGTGGATCACATTTGACCATTTGATTGCTAGGTTCAAAACAAGAAACTGTGATTTCAGCAACAGTGAGTTGTTCATGATAAGCTTTTTCAGCAGAGATGACTGGTGCATAGGTGACTAGTGGAAAATGGATACGAGGATAAGGAACCAAATTGGTTTGAAATTCAGTTAAATCAACGTTAAGGGAACCATCAAACCGCAATGAAGCGGTAATAGATGAAACAACTTGTGCAATCATTCTGTTAAGATTGGTATAAGTAGGACGCTCAATGTCAAGATTACGACGACAGATGTCATAGATAGCTTCGTTGTCAACCATGAAAGCACAATCAGAATGCTCCAAAGTGGTATGAGTAGTCAAGATAGAATTATAAGGTTCGACAACAGCAGTTGATACTTGAGGAGCTGGATAAACAGAAAATTCTAATTTTGATTTTTTGCCATAATCAACAGAGAGACGTTCTAAAAGCAATGCACCAAAACCAGAGCCGGTACCGCCACCGAATGAATGGAAGACCAAGAAACCTTGAAGACCAGTACAATTGTCTGCAAGTTTACGAATACGATCAAGTACAAGATCAACAATTTCTTTGCCAACGGTATAATGTCCACGAGCATAATTGTTTGCTGCATCTTCCTTTCCAGTAATTAATTGTTCAGGATGAAATAATTGACGGTAGGTACCAGTACGGACTTCATCTACGACAGTTGGTTCCAAATCAACAAAAACAGTACGAGGAACATGTTTGCCAGAGCCGGTTTCAGAAAAAAAAGTATTAAAGGAATCATCACAGGCACCAACAGATTTGTCAGATGGCATTTGACCATCAGGCTATTTTTTTCAATAAAAAGAAGGAAAGTGATTTAATTATTTATTATTATTATTATCATTGGATAATTTATTGTTATAATTAATTTATATATATTTATATATATATCACACAGTAATATAACGACATACTTGAATACCATGCTCAAGGCAATAAAGTTCCCAACAAGCATTTCCAATTTGAACACCAGCTTGACCAACGTGGATAGAAATACATTCACGCATGTTGAAATTTAGTTTGGTTGATTATTTAAAAAAAAAGTTTTTAAAATGTCAAAAAGGAGGATTATTATTATTGTAAAAGAAGTAGAGAAGAAGAAGAAACTGTAGTTTAAAAAAAAGTTATTAAATTTTTTGAAGAAAAAATTTTTGTAAAATTTTGAAAAAATTTGGTAGGGGTGGTTGCGCTCACTTAAGTTAGGGAAAGTAAGCTATAAGAACCTGAAGAAAAAAAATTTTCAACTTTCCATTTTTCAGTTGTTTATAAAAGAATTCAGAAGATAGTAACCACCCAATTAAGTTCGATCCGGAATTTGACAAATTTATCAATCAATCAAATCAACATATTAAGTTTAAAAAAACAATGTACTAATTATTTTTTATTATTATTTACTTGTTTATTTGTTACACGCACATAATTATTATTGACAAATAAAAAAATTTGGGGTATTATCGTAGTAGATTTAAGAGATAGATGGAACAAGACAAAATTGTCTGATTGGTGGTATTATCGTGCGCCAAGTTTACAGTTAGTCAATTTCCTTAGTTCTGGTAGTATTGTTACCAAATGGTTTGTACTACAGGGCTTTTTTCTCGCTTTTATCTGTTATAGGAAATGAAGAATAATGGATCAATTACCAAAACAATAGTTGATCTAACCAAATTATTCCAAATTTAATTATCTATTAAACATTGTTTTCACATAACATATAGCGGGACCGCCATAAATCACATGATTTTGAGGGTGGGTATCGTCACAGGTTCAACCTAAAAGAATCATGTGATTTGTTCACTTACCGTATATGGAGGATTTGATGTTGCCATGAGATAATCTCACAGTTCAGTCGGTTAGAATTTTTTAACTGATTGGCTGGTTAGCATTGTTCTACGAATATCCTTTTAGAGGAACGATAATAAAAGGTGCCTATATATTATTGTGCAAAGAATTCTCTATCTTGTCTATATCCGAAATAAGTCTTTCTATTTATGTCTTCCTGCTTTTTGGAATTGATTCTAAATTTCATTATTAAATATTATTAATTTTTTTTTGAAATTGACTATCTTTAGTATTAATGAAATTTTGAATAAAAATGTTTTACACGTGATAAATGTTAATTAATTAGAACGCATGGACTGGAATTCCACGATTATTTGTTAACTGCGCAGAGAAAATAGCATAATATTCACATAACTATCCTGAATCAGTACATAAACAGTCTTGTGACGCAAATAAAAATGCAACGAATTCTTCGATTAAAATCAAAACGCTAATTTTGCTAAATGAACCCCGGAAGCTTCAAGATCAGCAACTAGCCAATAGATTTATTATGAAGTTTCCGAGACCTTCTTGTAAAGGTTTTTGGTTTTAAATGTCTTTTTGCAATTATAATGGTTTTTTTTTGTGCCTCATAATGGTTAGAAATTCCAAATATAAAAGAGAGTCGATTTCTTCTCAATTAAATTTTAAAATTTTGAAAATTAATCTATTTATATAAAATAATTAAATAATATATATTCTCACGCACAAGTAATAAAATATAAAAGTTATAGAAATTAATAAATAAGATAGATAATCATACAACAAAAACTTATTAAATTTGTTTCTTTTTCAAGGTAACTTATTCCTTTTTTTTAATGTTATGAATTATTAAAATCGCATAAATTAGAATTAAAAAGAAATTAATTTAAATCTTAAAAATAAGATCTTGAATTGTTTACAATTTCAAGCTTGAGTTTTCGTCCAAAGTAATTGCTAACTTGCATAGTTCAGTAATTCTGAACATTATTAAGTTTTAACATTAAACATACTTCAACAAGATCACAGAAAAACATATATATATTAACATAGTATTAATAACTATATTTTTTTTAAACCTTAAAAAGAATATTAAATTTGTACAATAAATACTTTGTACATTACTCAGTTCTCTTATTATTATTATTTATTTTCTTTCAGTTGTATCAGAAATAATTTTTTACCTCAAGATTTAAAACGCTAATCTAAACAAATTTATAATTTACCTGTTTTGTTATCAGTTTATAAAACTTCTCGAAGAAAAACTTATAATGTTCGCCATTACAGAACCCGTTCCCAATATTCATGATACACAAATTTTTCCCAATAACTATCGAAACACCTCTTCCGTGACTTCTATTTCTCCAAAATATGAAGAAAACTTAAGTTCTTCCACGTCTCGCATTTCTTTGGAGTCATTAGTTTCTTGTAGTGAAAACAATTCATCATCATCATCATCACCACCACCATCACCACCATCATCAACATCATCAACATCATCAAGGTAACTTTTTTTCTCTTATATATATGTACTCTTTTTTTTTTTTTTTTTTGCTAATACTTACTATTTCTATCGATTTCCTTTGATTATTTTTAGATCAAGTTTATCTACTGCATTGAATAATCATCGTTCAAATAGTACACAAAAACTAAATGATTTAAAAAATTCATCCATAACATCAAAAAATACTTTATCACAAAATTTTGGATCACCACCTAATCAACAAAGGAAACTTTCTGAAACTTTGAATTTTATTCCATTTAACGAAAAGACAAAATCTTCTTCACCAGTTCAAAAGAAAAGGGCTTCTGAACCTATTCGTAAATGTTCATCAATTGCTGCTTCTTCATTTGAGACACCAACTCCTGTTATTAGCAGTGGTCGCAAGTCATCACTTTCCTTAAATCTATTCAAATCATCTTTACCTGATCGTATTGTAGTCAACACTCAACCTATAGTATTAACTAAAGATTCAACACCATCACCTACATCCAACAACAACAACAACAACAACCCTCCTCATTCACCAATAATCACAGATTATTTCAATTCAAAACACAAAGCTAAACAAATTCCTATAAAACATAATTTGAAACCTGAAATTAGAATTAATACAGATTTTGACAGCTACAGCAACAATAATAGTCACATTGATGATAATAATTGTAATAGTGATGGAGATGACTACGATAACATAAGTGAAGAAGAATTAAACAAATTTTTAAGTGATCCATCTACGCCACCTTCAGTTCAACTAACGCCTTTTGATAATCAAGTTGGAGGTCATACTTCATTCTTTCGTTTTTCAAAAAAAGCTGTGTGTAAACCATTAGCAAAAAGAGAACATTGTTTCTATGAAGTTTTAGAGACATTTCACCCTGAATTATTACCTTTTGTTCCTAAATATTTGGGTGTTCTAAATGTTACTTATCGTTCTCATGAAGATAACTATAGTCCAATGCCAGAAGTTTTTTTCAAACAGAATAAGCATCTTTTACCTAACTGGGTGCTTACCAAGGTAAATTCTTTGGATAAAGATTTTAGTTTCAATGATAATAATAATAACTTGCTTAATTCGGATAAAGAAAATGATTATAGTAAAGATTCAATGGAATTTGAAAATGAATTGTGTTGTTCCATAACCAAAGTAAACAAGATATTAAAAGAACAAGTACTTGAAGAGGTTTTTTCTCCACGTGCATTAAGCACTCGTATACGTCAAGTATGTTCTTTACAAAATGACGCATCAATTAAAAGACGACATTCTATGATAAGTGTCGATGCTCTATCAAAACCTGAATTTAATAATACCCAAGAAATTTCAACGTCGAAAAGTTTAGCTGAAACATTGATAATTGACAAATCCTCAAAGAAACATCGTACTATATCAGATGGTCATCTGATTCAACTCTATCCAAACAGAACAGACTATTCAACAATGGAAACACCCGAAGAAATTAAATTTCATAAAAAAGATAATTTTTATGAAAAATCGCCAGATGTTAAATCTTTATCTACATCATCTTGCACCACAAACAACAGTGTTATATCACCGCCACCATCACCACCGTCACCATCGTCACCATCATCACCATCACCATCATCAGCTTTTACAAAAACAAATAATAATCTATGGTCACTTCATTGCTACACAACACAATTATCTAAATTACAAAAAAGTGATGATGATAAATCAGATAAAGTTCAACAATTTATATTGCTTGAAGATCTTACTGGCGGATTAAAATATCCCTGTGTGTTGGATCTTAAGATGGGAACACGTCAACATGGAATTGATGCGGCACCAGAAAAATGCAAAAGTCAAACGAAGAAATGTGCAAAAACCACTAGTAAAAAATTAGGCGTAAGAATTTGTGGAATGCAGGTACTTGATCAAAAAGACTTTACTTTAGGAAGATTAATGTTGTTAATTTTATAACAATCATCACTAACTTATTTATCTATTTGTATATACAGGTTTATAAAACCACTACCAAAGAATTCCAATTTCAAGATAAATATTATGGACGTTCATTGAACACTGAAACATTTTGCAAGTCATTAGCAGACTTTATACATAATGGAGGTCGCTTACTAGGACACCATATTCCAACAATTCTAGCTAAACTTCGTCGATTAGCTAAAATAATTAGAAGTCTTAACAATTATCGATTCTATGCCAGCAGTTTACTACTAATCTATGATGGGGATGAGAAAAATCCACGTGAAATTGATATTAGAATAATTGATTTTGCACATTGTACTACTGGAAGTGATTATGAAGCAAAAGATTGTAAATATCCTTCAAATGAAGGATTTGATAAAGGTTATTTGTTTGGACTAAAAAATTTATGCAGATCGTTTGAGAACATTTACAAAGATTGTTATGGCATCATACCTGAAAATGTTAGTGAAGAAGAAGAAGGAGTTTTTTCAGGAATTGATGAAAACAATTCATATTAGAAGACTTTCTTCTTTTTTTTTAGATATTATTATTATCAATATTAATTAATTATAATGACATTAGAAAATATTAATTAATTATAATTGACACTAAAAAATAATAATTTTAGTAATTTTTACATTTAATATTTTAGAAATTGGGAAATCATTTAATTTTTTTTCTGAAAATTTGTATAAAGTCATAATCATTTTTTGCTTTCTTTATAAATAAATTTTTTTTCATGCTAGCATTTCTTTTACATATATATTTTATATATAAAATTTTTTCCTTGTACACTATTTTTCCAATTAATTAATAAAAAATAATAACAAATTCTAATCTCTTGTAAATGCTGTATTGATTGTGTATCGTTTGTTTCATTGTATGCTTTTTAATATATCACCAAATTTATCTCGTACTACTTCTGCTTCTAACGAAGGATCTGATCTTATAATAATAACCTTTTTCCAAAATCTTCAAAAAATCCACAAATAACAAAAAAAATTAATTATATTTTAAAATTATTTTTATTATTTAATAAATGAATATAATATATTATATACTTATCACAAATATACATGTATAATGTTTATATATTAAATATTTTTATTTTGTTTGTTTTGTTTATAATACATATTTGAAAAGTCATCATTATTATTTATCATAAAAAATATGTTACATTATTATTTAGGTTGAATCGGCTTCCTTTTTTTCTTCAGTAATATTTTTTTCTTCGGTAATATTTTCTTCAGTAATATTTTCTTCAGTAATATTTGCTTCTTCTTGATTAATATTGGCAGAAGAGTCATGAATTTCTTCCAAATCTGGAGTAGGGTCATCATCAGAATCATCATACTTTATTGTTGTTATTATAAAAAATTTTAATTAATATTTGTTTTTGTCATATTATTATTATTATTATTATTGTTATTATTATTTTAATCTTATTGTGAACGATTAATAATATAAAATAAATTTGACTACTTACTGGAAATCCACCATCAGGATTTGCAAAACCACTGTAATCCATATTACTTAAAGGATTTTCCGATTCATCTTCATCTTCATCTTCATCTTTCCATTTAGCAAAATCAGTCTTAAGGAATGTTAATTTAACTTTATCTTTTTGAAGACGTGCCCAGTAAGGTTGATCCTGTTCAGCTTTATCAAGAACCAAAAAGATTTGACGTGGACTAACTGAACGTTTTGAATTCTAAAAATAATTAATTAATTAATCGATAAGAATACATGTTTAACATGCTTAGTATGTCTTTTGAGTCATTGCTAAATCTCTCCTTTTGTTCTGATGAAGTAAATAAAAATATTACCTCTGGATTAATTTCCTTGAATAGATCCAAATCAAGCTCGTATGGTTTCTTATCAGGGCCTCCTAAACCTTTGAAATAAATTTTATCTTTAGTTAGATTAAGTTCTGGATCTTTAACGTCAGTTAGATTTATGGTAACATAAATCTCATTTTTTCGTTGTGCCCAAAGTACTTCAGGGTGAAGAGGTTTTTGACTAAATCACGCAAAGATCAAAAAAACATCATTTAATATTATGCAAAAATAATAAAATTTTATTTGTCATAATTATACTTGAAACAATTTACCTATCAGCCATTTGTATTAGTTATTTTATAGGGTGGAATAGAGGTAAAAAATCGTAAAATAAAATAACAAATCTATTTATATATATTTATGTTATAAAAAAGATGTAGGATTGGAAAAAAATTTTTTTTTTTTTCGAGAACACTAATTAAATAGATAAAAATCAAGATGACGTAATTTTCACGAATGTTCCAGTAGGATTTTCACTAGAAATATGAAATCACATGACTTTAAGTGAATTCAAAAAAAATTTAAAAAATCATCTTTTGGATCTTTTAGAATCGTACGAAGCATCATCATCATCAGAACTAATCACAATAACTTCGGGATTCTTTTTATTACGTTTACCCCTTCTAGCGATGGCGTTTACTTCTATCGGTTCTTCTTTTATTTCTATTAATTCCATTAATCCCTCTTCAACTTTCACAAGATTTTTTGGTGTGGACAAAGACAGAGGTGACCTTATTGTACTATAATTAGAAAGACCATAACCATGACCACGACTTCTTAACCATGCAGCAGGCCGATAGTTGAGATGAAGAGCTGCTATGGGACTACCTTCCTCTTGTAAATAAGTGTCATATTTTACATTCGAAGGTCTTGTAACTGGTTGTACATCGTATTGTGTAGAAAGTTTTATTGACCTGGTGTTCTTATTTTCAGGAACAATTGCATTCTCAACAGAATAATCAGGAGTGTTTGTAACGTGCCAACGAACTCTTTTGGCACGATAAAAATAAACAGATATTGCACCTGGACCACCAATATTATTGTTTTTAGCTGAAACATTACTTCTTCTATTATCATCATCTTCTGACCAATTAGTTGGATTAAATTTAAAATAATATAGTTTATCTCGATTTTTACTCCAAAAACATGTTCTTAATTCTGACAAATTATTTGGATTTAGATCACCATACGAATAATCATACTCCCCATCAATATACAAAAATGCTTTTATTGGTTCATTAATAGAACATTTTGTAGATGGTGCAGAATATTTCACACTGTAACGTACACCGAATTCTTCAACTGCAGCATAATGAACCAAATTACTAGACAAATGTAACGCATCGTCATTAATTAACCAAATAATTAATTTTATGAATAAAAATATATTTTAAGAATTATTGATTGAGAATTGAAAATTTACCACATGTCTTGCGTTGCAGATTTATCTGCGCGCGTATAAGATGAACTAGTTGCCAAATTCTTTTAAAATGATTAAATATTAATAAATGGAATTTCTTATATATATATAAATAATCTTTCAAAAGAAAACTTTACTTCATTTCTACTTAATGGCTCAGTATATTCACTCAAAGGTTGGCCATTCACTATGATTTCAACTCGAAATCCATTTAACAACATATTGATATTTATTCCTTTTTCCCCAAAATATATTAACAATTTTTAGTTATATTTTTATGGGTAGAAAGAAACTTCTGTCGAATTCCTTAAATCATTTGTTTATATAAGTTATGAATGTTACACGAAATGGTCAAGCAATCTGTGAAAATGTCTCAAGTGGGGCTCAAAATAGTTATTTTATGAACAGCTAAATAAAAATTTAGGAGAACTGTTTAAATCTCATGTCGATATATTTCAAATTATTGTATATATAATCTTGCATATCAAAATAAATAATTTTGATTAAGATTCGAATTTATTTAAGAAGCTTGATAATCATTTCAAAAAACTGCAAAATCTACTTTGAACCGCTAATTTCATCGTTTTAATAACATTTTGCATTTCTATGTTTTCTAAACTTGATAAATTTAAAATAGTCTTAACGTAATGCCTAAAAAAAAATCACAAAACATTAAAGAAAAATATTATTTTTTTAAATAAAAGAAACTTGTCAATTTTTTCGTAATAGTAAAACAAAAGGATACAAAAAATCATAAACTTGTTCCAGTGCTTGAGTTGTGTCTCCACATTTTTCCAAATTCATATTATTTGCAACATTATTTAATGATTTAAAAATATGCAATATACACTATAAAAAGTTTTTTTCCAAATTAATATAGAATCTCAAAAAAAAAAAAAAGATATATAAATGTAGTTAGTACCTCTGATAATTTCAATGGAATTTGTTCTAATCTATAAATTATAGGTCCAATTAGTGCGCACAAATAAAGCAATTGTAAATCTGTTTTTATTCCATCTTTAATAGTCAAAAGCTTGTCACAAAAGATCTGCAAAACATCAGAATTTGAATAGTGTAATAAACTATGTATACAAGTTAGGAAATTATTAGGTGCATTTGTTGTAAAATTGTGAAGATTTGATTCATATTCATTAAAAATAAATGGATATAATGTCGAGAATGTTTGTTGTATTGATGGTGATGATGGCAATGATGATGACGGTTCTATATCCATGTCTTGTATTGAACCATTTTTGTTATTTTGAGATGGATCATTGTTAGATGAAAACTGACTTGAGGAACATCCAGTCTATAAATTTCATTTAGAAATTTAGTAGATTAACAAAGGAGGAAAAAAAGATTTTAGATTCATATAAAATATGTAAAAAAAAAATTTACCAAATTAAAAGCCTGTGAAAATTCTCCAAGGTGTGGATCTGTTAATATCATTGTTACCAATTCATCAAATAATTTTGTAATAAATTCATCAACAGGTAGAAAAGAATAAAGTAATCCTATTGCATGTAAAACCATAGGCTGCAAAGCAACGCCCTTTCTACCATTCATAAGAACAATGTCCAATGAAACTTTGACAAAATCTGCAGGTTTTATGGAAGTGGTAAATACTTCTATACACGCTATATGTAAACCTTGTACTAAAGGATTAGGTATTTCGCGAAAATGTTTTTCTGGAAGCTTTGAATTTGTCTTCGGAGCACATTTTTCTGGCGACATTGCTAATAATATTTTTTTGGGGGAAAATCATTAATTTAGAAAAAACAAAAAAAAACAAAAAAAACAAAACATCAACAACAATAATTTGAACTGAAATTTACAATCTGATAACTTTCGGAAAACTTTCTCGAAATAACTGATGTCAAATAATTGTTCTTTGGAAAGATCATCTGAGCCATATTTGAGTAATTCAGGTAAAATATCATATTCATCAAAATCTATTTAAATAGGTATTAATGTATTAAAGAAGAAAACAAATTATTTGACGTTTCTCATTAAAATAAATGTATATTATTATATAATATATATATTCACCAAGTAATCTTATTAGTCTTTTACAAAAAGCCTTCTCTCTAACGATAGGGACCGAGTAATAGTAACAAAGTAAATCTCTAACGAATGCTAACAAAGTTTGATGATATCTATAAAGGAGTCGATACTTGTCTAACAATTTGATAAGCAATTCTTTTTCGCCGAATTCAATCAATTTTCCAATAACAATGTCCAATATTGGTAAAGTTCTACGAATAACTGTACAGTAATATATTGGCATATTTGTAACAGAGGGAGGTTTAAGTTCCGAAATAACATTTTCATATCCATTCATTGCATAAGCTTCATACTGAAAGAATTCCGGATATCTCTCCAAGTATTTCATCATTTTATCATAATGATCATCTTCTATCCAATATCTAGGTTCAAAATTTAATGAAATAAAATACTCGACGCGTTCAGAAAAATTTTTCGATTTAAAAAGTAAATAATCCAATATCTGAAATGCTGTTGTATCTTTCTCACGATGTCCTCTGACCAGTGCAAAAAGAACATGTTCAAATGCGACAATTTGATATTTCCATATCAATTCATCTAACATTTGACAACAAGACTTTTAAAAAGTGACTGGTATTAGATTGTTAGTTAAAAAGTATTTATTTGTACATCATATATAGGAAAATTTTTTTTTTACCGTTATAGAAGGACTTTTAGGATCATTATCAATCTTTTCAATAATAAAATCCACTAAAGTGATGGTATAAGTAGCCATTCTGGAAGGCGGGAATTGGATCAAGATTTTACGTATTACTAAAAATGAAAATTAGTTCACAAAACATTAATAATAATGATTATTTATGTACGTAAACAAACAAACAAATTATTGGTTTTTACTTGGTATAAGTTCTTGGTTACTTTCTCTTCCACAATTCCAATCAATCCTCCAAAATACACACAAAAATATTGATTGGTTTTCAAGTTTAGAATAATGCTCTTGTAATATTTCTTCATCTTCTGGACTTAAAGCTTGACCCATTAACAATCTATATAAATTTCCTATTTTCAGAGCAGAGTTAACTTGTTTCTATAGGAGGGTTTTTTTATTGTAAATTAATTAAGTGATGGATGGATAATTTAATAAGTAAATAGTATGCATATATATATATACATCTTTATCAGAACTTTGTGAGAATGATCCCCCCATAGCCGATCTTTGTTGTGTTAGAATGGATCGTAGTGGCTCAGGGAAAAAAGAAAGAGTCGTTTGACAAAATTGAAGTGGTTGTGGATAAATGCTATTAATAATTCCTTTTATCGTTTCCGATGGAATGTCACCGCTACCTCTATAATAGATTTACATATTATCATTATTATTTGTTATTATAGATTCATGAATGATATAATTTAAATAGTATTTAAATATGTTTTTTTTTGCTTTAAATTAAAATGAATAACCTAAACTTTATTAATCGAGCCAAAGTAAAAATCATATATCGAGCCAAAAGTTCTGATTCACCAAACCAAATAGCTTTATCTCGGCACGAGTCAGCTATAGAATGGATAAATTTAACATTCGACTGTATCATCTATATATTATATATATAAATATAGTTAATTAATTAATTAGATTCATCCAAATATATATAGTCTAATTACAAGTTATACCATTATGTGTAGAGCAAATGTTTCAACGTCACGATAAGTTTGACGATGATCTAGATAAGAGACTGAATGTTTAATATAACCTAAAAGTTCGGGTGCTTTTGAAGAATACTTTAAAAATCGTAGGAAACGATGACAAAAAATTTGTAAAAGAGTATGTTGCCATCTGATTGCATTATCCGCTATAGGAGCATTATTTCCTGTTTTTGATTTGATTGTTCTATCAAATTTTTTGTATTTTTCAAGAAGTTCTTTGATCAACAATTCAAGTCTGTATGTATGTATGTATGTATGTATGTATGTATGTATGTATGTATGTATGTATGTATGTATGTATGTATGTATGTAT